CTCGTGTCAGTTTATTCAACATAGTCAGCATGCCATGATTACCTACCAATGTAATAAGAAAGACTGCAAACCACAGTCCAAGGCCGGTGAGGAAGAGCTGTGGAAGCGGCATCAGAGAGTCATCGCTGGCTGGTTTTTGGTCTGGCATTTTTGGTGGTTCATCGCCTTCGGTCGGCTCAGTGACGGTATTACTAGGAGTTTTCTCCAAGCTGGGCTCGGCTGCTTTTTCCGCAGAAGTCCGTGGCGGACTGTCGCGGTCGTCGTTTGAGGTCATCTCTGAAGGGAGAGTCTCGCGGTCTAGATCTTTGTAGACAGGCTGGCGGCTGAAAAAGCAGAAAAATGAGTGTTTGGTTTTTGCTCAAACGAGAGACATGTTCAAAAGGAAAGGAATGATCTGAACATATATAGAAAATTTCCAGTATGTCGGCGGAGAGCGTATGTAACGATACGCAAAGGTGAGGAGCCGATGAAAATCTTGAGATTAGTGAGCCGGCAGGTGAGAAGCGGCGGGTCGCCACATGAAAGGCGCAGAGCCTTCCCAAGAACGTAACGGCGTGAGCCAAAGCTTTATTAGCTGCGGGCAGGGAAATAAGCAGGGGATGAAATTGGCATGTCTTCGGGAAGACTGTGCCGAAGAGTCTGAATTCGAGCAACGCGGAATGACGCGAAGGTTCAGTTTCAATTGCTTTCGATTGTGCGTTATGCCGTTTGACTCACCACCGCCCTGCGCAACTGCTGTGCTACAGCGCTGTAATTTAGAGCCTTCGGGGTCTCTAACGGGGCCATTGCTGATCGCTAGATTCTGATTGGACAGAGATGATCATGTGGGGCGATAGGCGGCAGGGTGCGCGTTGCTTTCTAGATTGGGTTTAGCGCCCAACTGCCGAGGACAGGGACAAACGCTGCGCATTTCGTGACGCCCCAAAAGTTGATACCAACCATCCACATCTGCCTCTCCTGCCTGGGCCTGTTTCCCCTTCCATCCATCGCTTGGCCTTGTGCTTAGATAGCGGCAGTGGCACGCTCCCGCTCAGCAACTTTCCATGAGTGGTACCCAGAAGTCGCTTCCGGCCGTCCCCCGGTCCAAGGGCTGCCTCACGTGCATCGCTCGGAAGAAGCGCTGTGGTTAGTGTTCGTCCTTCGCATTATGCATCCATCACATTCATAATTCCTAGATGCTCTAGATCCCTGTCTAAAGATTCCTCTTTGGACACATTGATGTTGCCTTGAACGAATCAAAGCTGATCAACTGTGTAGACGGAAGGCGGCCCACCTGTCGGGCGTGTGAGGATCGGAAGCAGGTCTGCCAGGGGTATCGAAGAGAGGATATTGTCTTCCTCAATGACGGGTGGCGTGCCCCTGGCGTCGCCGCTGCCAGTGCCAAGAAGAAGTCTCGTAGTAAATCAAAGTCCCCGGAGACCCAAGAGGCGGGCCGTGGCACCCTTATACTCCAGTCCGCCGCGGCATCCCCTTCTTCCCTGCAGATGAGCCCCTCAATAGACCGGTCGCAGCTGCATACCTCGTTTTTCCTTGCTGAGTTTGCCGAGCAACTTCTGCCTAGTTCCCATTTCATCGCCGATCTCTTTCGATCTTACTTCTCCATCTCTTCCTCAACCTCCTCAGATCACCAACCCCTCAGTACCTCTGCTGCACAAGCTGTCGATGCCCTGGCCCAGGGGTACTTTGGCCGCGCCAATGGCGACCTTGTTTCTGTTAAGAAGAGTTTCGATACATACGGAGTCGCCCTGAGATCCATGTCGGCCAAAATAGACGAGTTGCAGGCGGCACACTCTGGCTTCCACCATCTTTCTGAGGAAGAATGGCAGCACATGGCCTTTTACTGCATGGTCATGGCCTTTTGGGAGGTAGTATCATTCTTCCATTATTCTTAGAATACAGATAAGCTGATACACATCCATTGAGTAGCTGAAAATGTCACCCTCCTCCGACAATTGGCAGCAACATCTTCGTGCTCTGGCCACCGCCATCACCCTCCGCGGCTCCAGTCACACGTACTCGAAGAGCAATCTCAGACTAGTTTCAACTGCACGTTTATTCATTGTAAGTTTTATCCACATTTAGTTCAGTCGTGCGCATCCAGCCGGGGCGGACTGACACTTGGGGTGATATAGACCCTACAGGCACTATCATCACGACGGCCGGGCGATCTTTCCGTGTTCGGTTGGCGACAGAGCTCACCTCTCCCTTCTGAATGGGTGATCGAAGCTACAGCATCAGTAAAGACAAATCAAGACGCAGATTCTACCATTCAGTTCCGGGTCTACAGCTTAATGGATTCGCTCCTTGCATCGGCATCTGACATCTCGGTTGTCATGGCGCAGTACAATCAGCTGCTCATCAACATGGCCAACCCACGTTGGGCGAGCAGCGACGGTCTTGGTCAAACCCTGGTCGATTTATACAACGTTGCAAATGTCATACTCACCCAGATCGAGGGAGTAAGCGAAGACTTGGGTACAACGATGAGCGAGTTACCATACAAAGACTGGCTCTCTATTCACCAGCCCGCATCGAGCCAAGACGCAGGTTCCATCCGAGAGCGCGATTTCATCACCACGATTGGATCCGACATCCATTCTTTCTTTCCAAATATCTTGAATTTTCCCTCCATGAATGATTTCAACACCGTGGCCTTCTACTGGACAATCTCCATCTTACTACGCCTACTCATCAACGATATGCTGGCACTGATGCAGGACATCAGCCCTGAAGACATGCCCGAAAATCCGCAATACGAAATCGATCAACATCGGATACGACTCGTACATTACGCTCAAAGCACGATTCGTGCAATACCTTTCGTAGAAGCCAAAGAGAACAGGTCCCAGCAGCCGTTCTTCATGGCATCTGCGTTCCAGACCGCGATCGCAGCATTGGGACGCGAGTGTGAGCATTTGAGGTCGCAGGTTAGTGAAGAGGTGACTATACTGGGCTATGCAAGCATGAAGCGGATCGTGGAAAGGTACATGGATTGGGCTCAACAGAGGAAAATCCTGCTGAGGATGGTTGTTGACATACCTCGGCATCCATCAGTATACACGGCGGCTTGATGAGTGATGGGGTTCGGCCTCATGTAATATATTTTAGATTTCAGTCGCAATATAGATTAGCGAGGGTAAATGTGTTGTGGATTTACTAAGGAAGAGCTGGAGGCGAAGAAAAGTAAACTGTAGCCTTTGACTCAAGGCTTCACTCTTTGAAACTACATAAAAAACCAGTTGCACTACTGCCATGGGGCGCACCAAGGCACTTAGTTACCCACGGATAGGAAACGATAATATTTTTCCACAATTTTAACTCATTTCTTTTCTTTGTTTGGGAAAACCTCCTCCATATCATGTTGATCCTATGATATCTCGGATGGATCGATCTACCCTAGAGCCGAGATCTGCCCCAGCGTTACACAAGAGCCGATATATATTCGACACCTACATCGTGGCAAACCCTAATCCTTCCTATTCAATATTTTGAGATAGCTAGGGGACTCCAATTATGGATCTGGACTAAATTTCAAAGTCACTTATGTGAACGGACGTATGAAGCGACATTGCTAGTGTTCACCAACCCCTACCACCTCTCATACGTGTTCGAAATATGAAAGCTGCGCACAACAAATCAGTCCAACTTAGCTAGGATTACGTAATTTTCAATTACCGGACTAAGACCTAAGGGTTCATAACATTCATCTTCAGGATCAATCATCTCCCTTCGCCTCCCCCTTACATATCCTAGCGCCAGTAACCGCCCGGCCCCATCACGAGAGTACCAGCACAGTTCCGGTCCGCGCGGTTGGGTCACGCGATGGAAACGTAAACCTTTGCCTCCAGGACCGTTTCCATGGACCGGTAGTTTTCCATCTCGCGCTCGGCCGCACATGAGATGCCGTTGTTTCAGTCTGTATATTTAGTATGGCGAATGCCGGAGGATGGAAGTCAGTATTGAGTAGCACGGGGAGCACTCCTCCCTACTTCCCTTCGCCCTGCCGGCTGAAACGCGTGGCGGCCAATTGATAGCTGTTGAACTCACAGAACACGCGTCATAAGGTGGACACAGTAACTGATACTTTTTCTCCTGACCGATAATAAAATCTGCTGGATTTCATTTCTCTTCGGCTTGTTTACTGGATTTTGAAATCGCGTCCGCCCATGAGATGAGCTTAAGCGCGCGCGCGTCGGTAATATTTAACTGATCAACAAGGAAAAACCGGGCCCATTACTCAGGCACATGCTATATATAGCATCAAGGTGGAAACGGTGACATTTGAGGCATGGATCTCTCAACACAGCCTTAAATCTCTTGAATTTTATGTGACGATTTTATGTGACGAGGCACGCCAAATCTCTGAGAATACCCACATCGTTCGAGAGTCGCCCATGCCGGTGCATGCTTTTCTAAAAACAAACGAAACTAAGGAAACCAAAGTACTAAATATGCGGGTGAGGTGATCGACCATGGTCCAAATATGGTTGGCGTCGGAAGTGCGAGTACAGAGTCCGAGTATTATAGAGTCCGAGTAGGAATCAGAACCCGGAGCTAGTAGTAAGTGCCGGCATTCCTGATTCATGCATTGGCAGCCTCCGCGAAACCGGGAGGAACCATCTCGTTACAGCAATGGATAACTTTCCTGAAATGGGCATATTCTTGTCGCCGAGAGCAGCCAGTGTGTGGTATGTCACTATTTGCGGGTATGCCGAGAGAATCTCTCAGGAAGTAAGCCGCGCGTTCTCTGCAGTCAGTAGTTAGATGCTGTGTTGAAAAATGTATAAGGGGACTGATCCCAATCCTAGAATAGGCTTCTATCTTTATTCACAGCATCACTTCAAACCACCATTTTTCTTACAACTGTCGTTTAACATTTGACGTCTCTTTCTGTTTCAACATCTCCTCCATACAGCGGTCAAGCCGGCTTGACCATTGTCTTATTAGCGAACTGCAATTTTTTTTCCCTTTGAACAACATCACCAACAACATATCTCAAGATGGTTGGCATCAAACAACTCTCTCTCGGAGCAACTCTCCTACTCAGTCTCTCTCAACGAGCTGTCTGCGACCCAACCGAAACTCAAGAGCTGAGTGCTCGAGATTGGGAAAATATCGACCAACTCATGGAGCGAGACCTCGAGATCCGCAAGGGTGGTGGCGGCCGTGGTGGTGGTGGGAATGGCGGCGGTGAAAATGGGTTCCCTGGCTATGAGCCCTCTGGTAGTGGTGGTGCCGACAAGGGCAGCCACAGACATGGCCGCAAAGGTCGACGAAGCCTCGAGATTCGAAAGGGTGGTGGCGGCCGTGGCGGCGGCGGAGGCGGCGGCGAGAATGGTTTCTCTGGCTATACGCCTGGTGGCAGCGGCGGCGCTGACAAGGGTAGCCACAGGCGTGGTAGACGGAGCCTTGAGATCCGCAAGGGAGGCGGCGGCCGTGGTGGTGGTGGTAGTGGTGGCGGTGAAAATGGCTTCCCTGGCTACGAGCCCTCCGGAAGTGGCGGTGCCGATAAGGGCAGCCACAGACATGGACGCAAGGGTCGTCGAAGCCTCGAAATTCGTAAAGGAGGCGGTGGACGAGGCGGTGGTGGTGGCGGCGGCGAGAATGGTTTCTCTGGCTATACCCCTGGTGGTAGCGGCGGTGCTGACAAGGGAAGCCATAGACATGGCCGCAGAAGGAGTCTGTAGGCGCGGAAGAGCAATGATTAAGAGGAGACTGGGGGAATGGTGTAGTCTGACTGGTGACTTGAACAGATGAGTCGTAGCTAACGTGGAACTTGTACTTATACTGTTGCCTTGAAGTGATATGTTCTCTTTTGTACGACTCAAATAAAATCAACTACCTCATGATCATAACTTACCTTCTAAGAGCATCGTGAACCCAATACCATGAATCCATCTCCTTCAAGCACTGCGTATCCCGGGCAGCTCTGGATCAAGTAATTGGGTAAGGAAGGTCGCCCAACGAGGCACTTCGGAGACTAGCACTAAGCTTCATGTAAGGTATTAATCCTAGCAGACAGCTTCCCAGAAATGGGAAAACTAAGAGCTTCACTCTCGAATGGCTTCAATACTGTTCCGGAGCTTGGAATTGAACTTACGGAGGCAACCTCCTGATAGGGTCGGAGTATTCAAGTTTGCTAGATGTTTGCCTAGGTTGGTAGTCATTCTTGCTTTAAGCTGGAACGCGTATTGCGGAACGGTCTTATTACATCGAATATTATGACCAAATCTAAGAATCAACGGCCGTAGAATTGGTTATTGTAATGAGAACAAGACTTAGTTTTTTCTCCTTAGTTGTGTTATGATGGCCAATGGCTACTTATATATGGCGTTGGAATCTTTTTCACAACCATTGAGCTAACTTCGCCTTTTTCTTTTCTTTAATGGCATCACCTATCTGAGTCTAGCTAATTTGCGTCGTCGCTGTGAGTTGCTCGCTGGGACGTGGGCGCGGAGGTGTTAATACGATGACATACCAAGACGCTGCCTTGGCCATTTAGGGTCATATAAAGAGGAGATGAAAGGGTTGAGCTGGGCCAAAACTTCCGGAGCCTGCATTCTAAAGAGAGTGCCAGCTGAGTGGACCACGTTTTGCCGAGGGAGGAGAAGCACATGAGCGCACAAAGTTGGAAGTTTTTGGCGAATGGGGAGATGATTGTCGCAAGGATAAGAATGGAGAACCCCGCGAGGGCTATGTTCTTAAATTCCAAATTCGAATCGCATACAGATCCAAGAAGGGAGGTCGCCAGGCACTGGTCGCGGTGTCAAGATCAACATAGGTCCACACAACCATCTGAAAAAGGGGACAGAGGCGGCCGCCGGGACAAGATCATAGTGTCATTGCGGACTTTTGGCAAGCGGCATATTATCTGTTAAAAGCGGGAGGGCTAGCGATCGCCAATCTCTGCTAAATTGCAGCCCGGATCAAGAGCGGTGGATAGAGACATCCTCATCCAGCGTTACGTGTGGTAGATTTAGCCGGAGCACATACACAACTTAATGGTAATCTTAATCCGAACCAACTACTAGCACACTAAGCAGCACTGTTCTCTCGTCTTCTTTCAAGGTGCATCCATCAGTATTCAAAGGGAGGCGGGCGATGAGACATTTTGGTTCCAAGTCGCGGGAAACTCCCTGCTAATGCAAGGGCCCATGACCGTAATGAGTAGCGGGCTGGGCTGAATACGCGTAAAAGTCTCCGCTCAATGGTGACAACATAAATGCAGTGATAATCTCTAATGCGGGGGCTAATTGTGGCAGAGCATGAGATCCAAATACGCGTAACTCATGTCTAGGATTCTTGTGATTGGTAATGACGTCCATGATCACCGTTTGCTGCTCCATAAGCGTTGGGATAATCTGTATTAGCTTGATTGGGTTACGGTTTGCTGCTTGCCATCCGCTCAGCCAATCTTATAACGTGTTGATGAGTTCGTGACGCTAGTCAATTTAGCTGCCCGGATGTTGTAGCTTCCGAGACAAGGCCTCAACCAATTTCCAATTCTCGGCACGTCAGGACTTCTCAAGACGTGTTGTGGATGATCGCATTATGATCATGCTCGCGAGAACTGCGTTCAAGATGGCTATATAAGCTCGCGTTGTTCCGCCTGAGAAAAAGGCTATTTCCAACTCACTCCCATCCCTCAACAGCTCAAGTGAAAGTCATCAACTTGTATCATAAAAAAGAGACTTTTTTGATAGCCCATAACTTCAACCTCGTCAACATGTTCTTCTCTCACGCTGCTATTGCCCTCTTCGCCACGGGCCTTACTTCCGCCGCTCCGGTCATGGAGAAGCGTGATGGCCCAACTGATGGTGAGAATATATCTTGTTGTTCACCTCGATACCCATTACTGATATGTTATGCTTAGCTGATATCCTCAACTATGCCCTTACCCTGGAGCATCTCGAGGACACCTTTTACCGTCAAGGCTTGGCCCAGTTCTCTCAGCAGCAATTTGCTGATGCCGGCTTTGATTCCGACTTCTATAATAACCTGAATGAGATTAGTCAAGACGAGAGCGACCACGTCAACTTTCTCACCACTGCTCTCAAGGGTGCGTTAATTCCAGCTAGTATGAGGCGTCTCCTAAACAACTAACACCCTTCCTACAGGTGCTGGCGCGACTCCTGTTGATGCCTGCCAATACAACTTTGGTTACACTGATGTCAAGACTTTCCTCCAGACCGCCTCAATCCTTGAGGGTGTTGGTGTTTCTGCATACCTTGGAGCTGCCGCCGACATCATGAACAAGGGATACCTAACCGCCGCGGGCTCTATCCTGACAGTTGAATCGCGTCACTCGGCGTATCTTCGCGCCAACCTGGACCAGTCCCCCTTCCCTCAACCCTTTGACACTCCCCTTACCCTCGATGAAGTCTACTCTTTGGCTTCGCAGTTCATCGTGTCCTGCCCGGCGAGCAACCCGCCTCTGCCGGTCAAGGCCTTCCCCAAGCTCACCTTGGCTCCCTCTACCACGATGCCCGTCACGACTGGTAACACCATCACTCTATTGACTCCCGTAAGTAGCGGACTTACACCTCACACGATCTTGTCTTGGCTTAACAGATGCTAATTCTGCATGTAGAACTACGTTATCCAGGCTCCTAGTGGGGGTAAGGTTTATGCTGCCTTCATTGCCGTCACCGGACCTACGTTTGTTGAAGCAATGCCTGTCGACGGCGGTTTTACTGTGGTTGTACCTAGCGGCTTTGCGGGCCAGACTTACGTCGTCCTTACTGGTTGCAACGAGTCTGTCACTGATGATACCGTCGCTGCTGGACCTGCCATCATTGAGGTAACGTTTACCTTGAGCTGCTTGCCTCTCCAACCGACTTACTAACAACGACTAGATCTCTTAAGTGTCCCACCAGGGTCGTTTACCTGTTAGTTCGACTTATATGAACAAGATTGAAGATCACGCTGGAATACTTGTGTAATGTAATTGTCGATATGTGTAAATACTGTAGCTCGGCATACCGGGCTTGAAAGTTACTCTATATTTCATCAACTTGGCTATCTACAGCCTCAAATCTGTTGGTACTATTAAAAGATAATCATAATATTGGTCGAGGGCCACACAGCTAGATAAAACTTATTACTAAATCACAATGATGAGAGAAACTCGATGCCTTCAGACTATCTTTACAGTTACACTTCACACTCAAACCTTCGTGGTGATGCTCTAGAAAACTTGTGAAAACGCGCTACTCGGAGCAGTCCGGTAGATGAAGGGCCGAATACAATATCAACCCACATCCGCCGCGCAGCGGTCCCATCTGAGGAGGATTCTTATCATTGTGGTGTCTCACTTTGCTTCTTCCTAATAGAAGCCATGGGAACTGTTTAATACTACCTACCCATCACGCGGACCTTTCTCTCAAAAGGCCTCTGACCAGTTGCTCTGCTAGGAGATGTGTCAGACAAGAACCAAATAAAAACCAGTATATTAAGTAGCTTTTAGGTTAAGTAGGCAGGCAAGATCGCTTATTGCCCAAGTAGATGCTTCGTATTATGTAACAGATGTGTAGCCTAGTTCCACCATGCGTCTAAATCCACGCTTCGCAAAAAGAGGCTGAACCATCATGCAACGGGTTGCCAGGATCCGACAGCTGCTCCGGGGGCGAGCCGTTTACCGCTTGCAAAGGCAGCCCTGGCCGCGATGAGCAGTCTTGTGGCAATCACCACAGGGGCGGCCGTCACTGTTCCTGTAACAGACAGTGAATGTCTTCTCGCCGGGCATGCCCATACCCTTGCAGGAACCGGGGCTAGGAAGCTAGTAGCCATTCTTGTTAGCGAGGGACAACTCCACTGTCGAGTGAACGCGGGAAACTTACGCGCTTGAAGAGCTCACGCTTCTCTATGTACTCGTCACGAGCGAAGAGAAGGTCCTCGTAGGCGACGTTGCGGGCAGCGAGGGCAGCCTCCAGCTCCTCACCGTGGACCTGAGCAGCGGTGAAGCTGGAGAGGGCGAAGACGGAGACGATGGTCTTGATGAAATGCATTTTGAAGATTGAAGAGAAACGGAGAGAGAATAAAACTGATGAGTTATCAAGGAATGTTATAAAGAAAAGTCTTGCTGATTGTTTGTGTAGAATGAAGAAGCAGCTTGATATGAGGAAGATGAAGGAGGTTAATATACTTTTTCTTCATGACCTTTGCCACTCCATCTGGTCCTCGTCTTTATTAGTTTGCAGTTAAATATAGAATATATCTGGCCTAAAAGGGATAATCAGTCGAGCCTTGAACCTTCATCTAGAATAGTCTCTTGATGAACGTTAGCCCAACTAGCTCTTGCTGAACTAACGCTACCAAAAGCTCGGGTCCCAGATGGAACTTTGCATAACGTTGCAGTGCGGTGGGCCAGTAAAGAGGTGGAGGAGTATGAGACACTGAGCAGGGTGTTTCTGGAAGTCACAATGCCGTTACTGGCGGCGAAACGCCGTTCCACGGCTCCCCTACAGGATCCCCCGAGGTCGCTGTACGCAGTGCCCGATGTGGGCAGAAGCAATCCTTCATATCATATAGTGAGAAATAGCTATGGCTGCAACTCTACCGAGATAAGGCAACGGCCAAGCAGTTTAACCTTGCAGCAAGAGCATTCATAGAACCATAGAGGCCTCATCCAGTACTACGACATCCGCTCTGTTGTGAGACCACGCCGGGGGGAGGGGAAAGCGACAAAGTGAGTGAACGGAACGCTGGCCGAGCAGGTGGTCCAAATGCAGAAAGTTGGAATTTTGGTAAGAAACTTACAGGCCGGCAGCCGGAAGTTGCCAGCCTTAGCGGCATATGAATTCATTTAAGTGACATTTCATGACCCGATGTCATGAGCGGGGAAGCGTAATCCTGCAGGAACAGCCCCATGGTCTGATATACGACCTAAGCTGTACGCAACACGATCTGCAGCGATCTTTGATATGACACTATCAGGATGCTGGTGATTTATTCCAAATATGCCTATCTGAGCGATGCTCTGAACAGTGTTGTGTTGCCTTCATCACCTTGACCCAACGCCGGACCCAAAAGCGCTTCAACCTCTACGAGCTTAGAGCCCGTAAAACTGCGGTTTCAGCCCTTTGTCAGCCTCACGATGTTGGCGAGATGAGATTTATTGCGTCCTAAAATAAACTCTACCAAGATTAGGAGAACAAAATATGGCTGGCCTCGAATTCGATTTGTGAGGAAGTTTGTCCCGAGCGGAATCCCACAACCGGCCCTTTGAACTCGCGACCCCTGCCCCCGCGACCCTTGCCTGAATAGATCGCAACTTGATCTGTGCTGGACAGCAAGTACCGAAAAACATACTGATCCAATTGCCGTAAACCCAAAAAGTCATGCACCAAACGAAGATCAGTTAGGCTCCATCACATGAAGAGGCAAAAGCTGTACATAGGAATGATGGATGCTAAAAAGTGGAAGGTGAAACAGCCAGCATTGTAGCATTGGGTTTCTACAGGGAACTTATGTGTATAGTTCGGCGTAATAAGTGCCCCTACAAAAGTAAGAGGCGCGGACAACGGCTGCCTTATTCCATTCAAGATCTATACATTAGGCGCAGCAAAGAGGGATTTCAACGCCACCGATAAATATGATAAGACTACATTGCCTTGGGCCGCTAGGTACGGCTGCCAAAATCACATCACTGCTTCATCTAGAATTAGACAATGCGGACTCTGAAGATGTCATTTATGATCGGACACCGTTATCATATGCCGCCGAGAATGGACATTAGATGACAGTGAATATGCTTTTGGCTGCTGCAAAGATCCAAGTCAATTCCCAGGATGAAGATGGTGCATGTCTATATATTTTATAGACAGCTATAGAATACAGTCACACTGTCGTGGAAGAGTTGCTTGCCGATGTTGGCAAGCCTGGTGCCAACTCAAAGGATTCGTTAGACAGAACACAACTGTTTGCCTTGGGCGGTGCCCTGCCATCTAATTTCCAGTTTCCCATGTCGTTCACTTGGACGTCTCCAGCCCATCCACCGCACTAGGTGGCTTTACGCTCCATATTTTTAGTAGTCTGCGTTGTTAATTAATGTGCTAAATTCTTCAATCCAGACTCTTACGTCGCCGCCATCCTCGAGTACAACATGTAGTTGTCTAGTTAAGCCCACACCGGCAGGTGTGCCGGTTAGGAGTACTCCAGACATTATAGAAAGTACATTTTATTTACTTGAGCCTGATAATAACGAGTGACGAAAACAGTTCCCAACTACTTTGGAATCTGTGGCCCGTACGGACCGTATGCGCACGGATCATACCTCCCAATGAGTGAGCTGCTCACAAGGAATCTGACCAAAGTCATCAAGAAAATGCAAAAGAGTTAATCAAATCCGTCACGCCCAAACGGGAAGTTCGCGAGGCGTTTGCGGAACAAGCTGATCTCTTCGCAAAGAGAACGGCATGGGGCCATGTATTAGCTGGTTCAAGAATGAAACGAGAGATGGCAAGCTCGCTGTCTTTCCTGGCTCAAGGCTGGTCCTCTTCGACCTGCTCTCAGAGCCCCGATTCGAGGATTATAGGATTGAGTATTTGGGAGGCAATGCATTCCAGTTTATGGGCAATGGGTTCCATCTGATCGAGTACAACGGGTCGGACAACTCATGATATTTGGTATCCACCTCTGATCCCGTAGACATGATGCCAGAGAAGATTAGAAGCTAGAAGATTGAGTTTTTACCACCACTAGCTTTTTGTACAGAAATACGGTACATAGATTGGTCCAGTCCCAGAACACCAGCGGTTAACATCAAACATGGAAAAGGGTGGGGTGGGAGGATCGCAAGTAAGACTGAACTTTCATGTTTTTCTCTAAAATTCACTCTCTATAGGCTATTAGGCTAAACATTTTGAACGTAATAGCTGGAGTAATTCCCATAAAGAGTATACGATTTGATAAAATCGCCCTGGGGAATTTTCGCTCTAGGGTACATGTAGCCTTCCACAAATGTATCCACAACACTCTTCTCTTATCTCAGCGACTCACAGAGAGACTCTGCTCCTTATCAAGAGTTCACCACCTCTTCCCAGAGTCAACAGCCTCTGTGCTTCCTTATCCTCGTTGGGTCCGACATCAATCTGCGTCAATCCAGATCAGCCCACTTTCGCATGCATGGAGAAACCAGCCAGGAAGAAACGACTGGCTCCACGATCGCGCTCGGGTTGTCTACCTTGTCGAATCCATCACCGGAAATGCGACGAACAGCGCCCGATCTGTGGCTTGTGCCACAAAACCCAGCGAGACTGCGAATATGGACTAAGAGTCTCATGGGGAGGCAGGCCGTTCCATAAGTCTTCCTTTGGACAGTATTTATCAAGCCAAAGTACCTTGATTGGCCGTATCGATTCGATGCGCGATCGAGGACAATGTAGGTTTGAACCAGAGACAGTCAAGTCAAGGACACGATACACTGACGCATAGGCACCTCAGTGGTTGATACCAGGAACAAGGAGCAATTTGTGTATGGGCTTATTCAGCCGGAAGAGCCTCCAAAATCTGGTACAGAAATCCGGCAGTCCCTGGCCATTCAACAGCAAACTCCGATGTCACTTACGACCGCGAGGCCGTCCTTCTTACCTGATCTTCCGCCGCCGTACCGGGTCCTCTTTGATTACTTTACACGAGTTGCCGACTTCTTCTCCTGCGACGAGTCGGTCAAGGCTGATTTCCATGCTACCTTCATGCCGATTGCGACCACAACTTCCCATGTTATGGCTGCCATGCTCAACCTTGCTGCTGTGCATAGGGCCAACTCGGATGGGAGCCAGGATGCCAAACAGATGGCGCATTTGCAATTAACCGCGGTTCGACAACTCCGGGGAAAATTAGCGGATCCTTCTGATTCAGCAACTGAGGCCATCTTGTCGACCATTCTGCTCTTGTGTTACTCCGAGATTGTGGCTGGGGGAGGCTCATCGCAATCTTGGCGATTACATCTGGAAGGGGTAGCTTCAGCATTAAGCAGAGAACTGCAATCATGGAATATGGAGTCATCAGGGCCTATAAGAGCTTTTCTTGCAAAGTGCTTTGTGTCTCTTGTCGCTCTCGCCAATGGTTCTGGGTACCCCCCTTCCGAAGCTGTCTCCCAACTCGCGATGAAATTAGCCCGGAGCAGCAAAGAGAGAGGCACCATTGATGAGTTTACTGCATACTCAACAGATCTAGTGCAGATTCTGATTGAGCTTGGTACATTATTGAGGAAGCGCAATTTGGGCTTGGAGGATCTGGAAACGAGCCCTATCTCAATGAGGGCTATGAATCTTGCCCAGCGACTACACCGGTTGCTTGATCAAGGAACAGGGGAACTCAGAGACAGAGCTTCCCGTCAATTCTCTTCTGCTCGGAGAAATGAGTATATCCGTGTGGACGAAGCATATCATCACGCACTTTTAATTCACATCTATCAGCGCCTACGGGGAGTGCCGGCTTCTTCCAATGAAATCCAGGCCATTGTGCGGCGGGTACTAGATCTGGTATCCTCTGTCGAGCTTCATGAAGGACCCTGTCCGGGAATTGTGCTTCTATTTCCCCTCTTTTCTGCTGACGTTGGTGCAGTGCACTCAGAGGATCGACAACGGATCCGGGATCTGCTGACCGGAATGATGGGCAAATTTGGTCTTGGAAATGTCCAACAGAGCCTGAAGCTGTTAGATACTCTTTGGTCTCATAGAGATACACACGGCGAGTCAGAGACAAATGTCGCATGGGAAGCGTTCATCGGTAAGTCCAAAGTGAAGCAACTCCCTCACTTATTACACGATGATTGACCGTAGGATCAGATGAAAATACGGACATTATTCTATATTGATACAATAGCTAAATATTGATACAATAGCTAGATATTGATACAATAGCTAAACATTGATACAATAGCTAATCAAGTGTTACATTTTAATCCAAATTCGACTTTCGTCAATTTTACACGGTGGTCATCTCGCGTCATTTAACGACAAGCGACTTCATGTCTTCTGATATCTCCTCAAACATGGCGTCCATGTCTTGACGCAATTTCTCCTCATCAAGAGCCAGCACTTTAAAGTCTTTCATGACTAACACGCCGTCGATTATTGTATGCTGGACAGCGGAGCCATTGCATCCGAAGACAAGATGGCTCTCCAACATCATCTTGCGCTTCAGAGGATCCTTCAGAAGAGGCGTGAACATCTGGTTCTTTGTAAGATCTACGACGATGAGATCGGCCTTTTTCCCAGGAGTGATGACACCAGCATCAATTCCAAGTGCTTTGGCGCCGTTCTTTGTCGCCATGCGCAAGATATTGTAGGGCTTCGCCAAGGAGGCATCCCGATGTAAGGCTCGTTGGATTAGCGAGCCAAACTTCATCAGCTCAAACATGTCTGGACTATTTTCACATTCGAACGCATCAACTCCCATCCCTACATTGACACCTTTATCTTGGAGAGCTTGCAGCCGCACAATGCCATTTCCAAGCTTTGCGTTGGAGCCTGGGTCGTAGGAGACTGAGGTGCCAGTCTCAGCAAGAAGATCAATGTCTCTATCGGTCAAGTGCACGCAATGCGCCGCGACAGTATCAGGTCCCAGACATCCAGATTCATATGCAATCTCAACCGGCGTCCTTCCATATTTTGAACGAGTGTCCTCAATCTCCTGTTGTGACTCACACAAGTGGATATGCAGTCCAGTGCCGAGCTTCTTTTTCATCTTTCCAACTTCCGCCATGAGTTCAAGGTTGGAGGTGCACATCCACTCGTGGCCCAGCCAGACGCGAATTCGATCCGACTCTCTTTGATCGTGTTGTAGATACGATTGTTCGTTGTCTTCGAGGAGGTCGAGTTTATACTCTGGTAAGGCGACTTCGTTGCTCAGAACAGCTCGGATGCCAATCTTTGCAGCGGCATCGGCGAGCGAGCCGACAAAACGGTACATGTCGTTCACGGTGGTGGTGCCGGATTTGATCGCGGTGCAGTAGGAATGCAGCGCGCCGATGTATGCGCGTTCTGGTGTCAGGGCTCGGACGCTGGGATACCAGACCTCCTCAAGATATTCCTTCAAGGGCAGCTCGTCTCCGAATCCCTAGAACAAATCCCGTTAGTGACGGCATAGATGAGGAGGCTTTCAGATGGTGAGGCAGGGGCTCACCTTGGCTACTGATGTGTGGAAATGAAGGTCGACAAAGCCAGGCATGACGAGTTTGTCTGTGCCTTCAATAACAATGATTGATGGATCGTTCAACAGTTCATCGCTGGGATTACCATGGTAGATCTTGGCAATACAGTCGCCTTCGATCTCGACCGTACCAGGGTAGTAAAACGAGTCCTCCGCGTCAAGTGTCAAAATACTCGCGCCATAAATGATGGTTCGAGCCATAGTCAGTCTTGGACAAGTTAAGGGATCAGACTAGAAGTCAATGATAGCTGGGCACCAACTGCAATACTTCGTCTCCTTATTCGGTATCCTATAAGTACTGAATCTGATGTTATCCAAGCCCTCAAAGACGGTCTAAACCTTTCTGGTTCATTAAGCCAGTCCGGGATGTGGAGAAAGATAAGTCTCTCAAGTCTTGTCACCAAATCTTGGTCTATAATTTCCTGTCTAGGGTTAGGTCACATCAGTGTCGCTCCGCAGCGTCACATTGGCCAATAAAGCAACAGATATAGATGCAAGCATACGCATTTCTTATTACAGTCACGCGAGGGGAGAGATAAGGAAGATAGTGAGGTCTATTCTTTCCCCATATGGCTAGAAAAGGACATCGTAATTGTCCCATTTCACTATCTTCACTCATCTAGTGACGGTGCCTGGCCGTTTGTTGAAGTGAAGCTTTTATCAAAGATTCTTGCCATCCTACAAATACCCGAGTCCGTCCCCAGGACGCTACATTTCCTGTGATATAGCATAACAGACTAATGTACAAGAATATACCCAGATATGGAGAAGAGTATGAAGCTTTCCGCTGGCGAGCTTGACGCGACAGTTATGGAGGAGGCAAGTACACCAACCAAAGCTCCCAAGTTCCTAGGCCTACAAAAACTCGGGAAACTCCTCGGCGTCGAGGTCCAGGGAAATGACCCGATTGTTCCTAAAGAGAAGAAGGACCGGCGCTATTTCAAATTGTTCACCTTGTGGTTTTCAATGAACTTCAACCTCCTCGCGTACGTTTATCCAGCCCAACATGCTCCAGTTGAGTTACCGGTGAATTGAGATCTCCTAAACTAACCACGAACAAACTTGTTAGCATCTCAACCGGCATGTCAGGAACTTTGGGCTTTGGGCTTAGTCTGCGCGACTGTTCACTCGTCATATTATTCTTTGCTCTGCTTATTTCCCTCGCAGCGCCATATCTTTCCCTGTTTGGAGTCAAACTAGGCCTCCGACAGATGATCCAAGCCCGTTTTTCATTTGGGTGAGTATTTTCGCCTGTGCCTGTGATATCGTAAAACTCGAGGCGAGCTGACTACTTATCGCCCTTTTTAGTAAATATGGCGTCGCGATCCCGCTCATACTCAATATGGCCACTCTGTTCGGATATGCCATTCTCGGTAGCATCCTGGGAGGCCAGGCCTTATCCGCAATCAACCCAGAAGGACTCTCAGTGAATGTAGGGATTGTTATCCTTGCAATTATCGACCTTATTCTCATTTTCTTCGGGTCGCGGTTGATCCACCAGTTCGATATATATGCCTGGTTCCCAACCCTTGTTGCTATCCTTGTCGCGGTCGGATGCAGTGGGAAACATTTACACAATCAATCTGTGACTGAACCAGCGACAGCTAGCAGTGTGCTAAGTTTCGCCTCTCTCATTGCCGGGTTCTTTCTTCCCTGGTCAGCTATTGCAAGCGACTTTACCACTTACTTTGACTCTTCTTCTAAGTAAACACATAGCTCGCCCTGTTTCAACACTCTTGTGTCAGATACTAATACGCTTTATTCATAGAACACGTGCTTTTACACCCTCATATATCGGCCTTGTGGTTGGCGGTGTCCCCTTAATGATCCTGGGAGCCGCTATCGGAGGCGCGGTTCCTAATGTGCCGGCCTGGGAAGAAGGGTATAATAGTACAAGTGTCGGCGGTGTCTTGGCCGCTATGCTTCAACCGGTTGGAGGGTTTGGCAAATTCCTTCTAGTTCTTCTTGCGTTGAGTGTTCTAGCCAATATAGTTGGCTCCGTCTATGCACTCACGCTGAATTTCCAAGCCCTATTTTGGCTTTTGCGCATCCGTCTCCCTCGGCTAGTCTACACGATCGTGGCTACTGCTGTTATTATCCCTGTTGCTATCAAGGTAGCTGCCGAGTTCCTATCATCGCTCAGCAATTTCCTTGGGATCATCGGCTACTGGCCAGCTTGCTTCGTCGCCGTTATTCTTGTTGAGCACTTCATATTTCGCAAAGGCCAGTATAAGAACTATAACATTGAGCAATGGGACAAGGGAAAGGAACTCCCGCTCGGTGTGGCTGCTCTGGCCGCTTCAATTTGCAGCTTTGGATTAGTGGTGCCAGGAATGTCGCAAATATGGTTTACGGGGCCTCTTGCCGTCTACACGGGGGATATCGGGTTTGAGACAGCGTTTGTTGTCACGGCCATCTGCTATGTTCCATTCAGATATATCGAAAAGAAGCTAACCGGGCGTTGAGAAATGCCTTCAACTTTGTTTCGAGATCTACTTTTCTCATCTTTGAATCATGCCGAAGTGACTTATCCTGTATGCAACCAAAGACAAGGGGGGAGATGCCTTGAGAACACAAATTTTGATACCAAATAATATTGACTACTCCAAAGCGAATGCTTTAGGCATCACCAAGTGTAGTCGAAGTTACCTATCTCATGATATTTTATTTATTCTTTAATTGATGAATGAGCGATAAAAACACGAATGTTCAATGAGGGAAACTAAAATGGTAGAAAGAAAATAACAGTAGGAGTAAAGTCTCTGATCACGGCCTAAATGTCCTCTTAGCGATGATGAGCAGACCGACTTCGATATCAGCAGCAACTGGTTTATTTGCAGTTGAATTCATGCCAGCTTAGCAACGTCAGGATATTCAATGCCCTGGATCCAAACCCTGTTGATGTCCTTGGTGTTGCTAATGTTGACGAACGGATCGCTGTTCAGCAGAATCAAGTCGGCGCGTCTTCCCGGAGCAATGACCCCACGGTCGGATAGATTTTGCAGCTCTGCTGGCAAGCTTGTCGCAGCACGCAATGCCTCAATCTCCGTCATTCCAGCCTCAACTAGGTTTTCGAGTTCCTCGTGCAGCTTCACCCCGTGAGGCATGTCAAAGAGGCCCTCCACGTACCCGACAGCATCCGTGCCTGCAACAACGGGAACTCTGGCTTGATGCAGCCTCTTGACATTCTCCCGGTAGATCGGATAGGTCTGGTTTGTCTCGACGGTGCCGTGTAAGAACTCCCTAGCGATTGGATTCTCGCTCACATACCGCATTACCGTCAAGGTTGGCACACTGAACTGTGCTTGGGCCTTCATGCGGAGTAACCATTTTTTTGCGAGCAGAGATTCCCCGAAGATATGATGAATACTGTCCGTCTTGGACTGTATAGCTTGTTGATAGGGTATTCCCCAACTCGCGTGAGTCGAGGATTGGATGTCGCGGCTGTGCGAGGCTTGTACAGCAGCGTCCTGCATCTCCTGCGTCGGGCCGTTCTCCTCGCTCACGATCTTCATAAAGTCAGACCCGTTTGCAACGGCCCAGCCAACATACAAGTCAGCCTGTGACACATCGGTGATGAGCATCGACTCCGAAATCGGGGTTGTTCTCGCGTGGTCGCTATTTGGTGCAATGATGGGCACCCCAGCCGTGAAGATCGATGTAAGGCCGACCTGAGACTTGAAGATTTCACATTTGGTGAAGTTCATGCAATTCATGTTGAAAGCAGTCGTGACTCCGTAGCGACTGAGGTCTTCCATATGCGAAATCTGCTGCACGTGTGTATGGCTGTCGATGAGGCCAGGAATCAGAAAGCCATGATGACCGTCGATTATCTCGTCTGGATCTGTAGAGTCATTGCCAATGATGCTTCCATCAATCACAATGTCTCGAGGAGGCAAGATGACATGCCCATCGAAGACTTGAACGTTTTGAATGAGGATTTTCTTCGTGGGAAGCTCAGGCACTTCCGAACGACGGAGGAGGGGATTCTCAGTAGGAGAGAGACCTGCATGAAAACCACAAGCTAAGGCACCCTGAAGCAGGCTGGCTTGAGCGAAAAGTACCTCGCGGAAGGACACCATTGTGCGTGTGAACCAGTGATTAAATATGACGAACAAAGAAAAACTGAGCTTAAACCAGGTTTGTTTATGTTGAATTCCATCATGGTAGAGGGTTATCGAATAGCTTTTGTACTTAACCGGCACATCTTGAAAGGCGTTTCAATAAGTCTCAGCCACGAAATGATATCAAGCCACAGAACAGGTTCGTTCACTAATCCCTAATGAGAAAATAGATTGCGAATGGGAATGCTGTAACATTAGAGCTTATTTCGGAATCAATCTCGCCCTCGACAACGATCATTATGCCGATCTGATGAAAACTGGGACGGCAAGCCCTTGTTTACCATACATTTGAGTAGGCAAGTTCGGAGTTTGTGAAGACCCTCTCAAGCGGGTGGCATAAGGCTTTGCACACGCAAATCATAAGGGCTTTTAAATCTCAGTCCAACTGCTGAACCCTATTAAGATAATAGATTTAAAAGTATAAAATTATTATTAGAGGTCCAAATATTAAAATGTTGTCTTTAATACGGGTATATTACATATTTATTGTTCGTTTATTGAGCTCTGAAGGTGAAGGGTTTGGCGAAATAAGTGATCAAAGTACTATTTGGTGTGCAATATCTTATGTCACCCGTTCACCTCTCCATCTCAACATGGGAATGTTTCATCCCATGGACCCAAACCCCAATCGAGTGGGGACCTCGTTCACTAAACCCAAGTGAGTAAATCCTGCTGATTCGCTTCGTCAGCTTGGGGCGCAGGGCATATCATCCTTGTTGATGGAGGCTCATCATCTCCGTCAGGGGGAGATGTTGTCAGAAAATTGGCCTTGGTGATAGATCCCAACAAAAGTCATTGGCTTCAATAGTAAAGAACTCAGCACCAAGAATGTCACGAAGTTTCCATACAAAGTCTCGGAATAGCTGTGGCCGATGCAAGCAGCGCCGCGTCAAGGTGAGAAAAGCCATCGAAGCCTCCGAAGCCAGGACGTTGCCATACGCTGAATGTAGCATACTAACAATGTATCTAGTGCAATAGACAGAGTCCAGTGTGCCGAAATTGCGCACGCCGCAACGAATTATGTGATTTCCAACTACGGATTGGTGACCTAGCTCCAGAAAAAGCCGTCATTGTGGCACCTACCGCAGTGGTATGGCACAAGGAAAATGCAATATTAGATTACTTTTCTGGCGTAGTCGCCCCTTCGATAAGTTTGGCAGACCCAATGATAGGGATTTGGAGAAAGGAGGTATTGAAATATTATCGGTTGTCACCGCCGCTGTATCACATGGTCATTTCGGTATCTGTTCTACATATGTCCAACCAGCACATGGGCCTAGACACCGGACTTATCCGTGTAGTCCACCAACATTTCGTGGATGCAGTGTCGCTTTTCCGACGGGAAATTACCTCCCTAGGTAAAGAAAACTCTCTTCCCGTTTTCTTCTTTTCTATTCTGCTTCTCATGGTCCAATTTGCCACCTCACACGTTCGCCACGGCATATCCTTCGGACCAACTGAGATTTTTGAACCTACGGATATTTTGTGTTCCCTCCAGAAGGCTCAAAAGCTCAGCTGCCAGCTTGTTCCGTTTTTGGCGACCAGCTCGATGGCAAGCATTTTCGCGGAAACTAGGCCACCCGTCATAGGAGGAGACGTCAAGCTGGCAAAGACTATCTTCATCGTCCAGGAGACTCTGCATTCATTGAACCTCACTGTACAACATGCATCAGAAAAGGAAGCTATTAAAAGCCTGCTTCAATGGTTGCAAACCTTGAGGTCAATGCAGCCTGGCTGGCGACAGATTTGCATCTGGCCTGCTTCGCTTTCGCCAGGCTATATCCAGCGACTGCGCGACAAGAGTCAAATCTCGATGATTGTCTATCTCTGCTGGTGCTTGATACTTGGCAGGAGCTACAAGCAGTGGATGTTTACCACATACTGCCGCCAAGCGATTAGGCATGTCGTTGCAAGAATCAACTGGGTCTGGGGAGATTTCCTTAGCCAACTCTTGACAGAGGTCGAGTGAGAGTGATCCCTACACATCCAAGTGGAAATCTTTTGCTGTGGGCTATGATTAATTATGTCTCTAAGATAGAGACAAGAGGGTCAGGGGAAAATCGAGGAACCAGATGCAGGTGTGAGTGCATGTACCGTACATTACGGGAAACTCCAACCATGCAAACTTCGTATCTGATGACCCGAACATTCTGGCATGTTCACAAGCCGTTCGCATCATCGGCGAAACATTACCTACATACACATCCCAAAAGACATCCACATCCGGTATGGTGTAGTGGCTAACATCGCTCGCTCTCACCGAGCAGCCCTGGGTTCGATTCCCAGTACCGGAGAGTTTTCTTTTTGGCCAGCTTCAGATGAGGTTGTACGACTCGTAGTGATACTCTTCTTCATCATTAGCTATTGATTACACGAGTCTATCCCCAAAATATATATAACTGTGATCTCAGGTCTCTCCCGTTCTTCTCATTCTTCTGTTCTGTCTCTTTTTATCCGATCTACATCTTCTGCTGTGATATATATATCCCAATGGGTTAGTTCTATATTTGGATCTGTGACAAAATGAAGCATTCCCGTGGGATTCTTCTCAGCCATCGAAGTTATGGTTGAATCAATATCCAAAAGTGGCTGTGGTTCAGTGACACCGCAGAGAGCATCATGTTGATAGTACAATGTAATCTTGTGCTGTAGTTTCTGCTGTCCCTCGTTCAAGTTTTCCCTTAAGAAGAGAGGATAATAATCAGATCTTACCGCTCCCATGCCGTCATCATAGGGACTACGTTCCTCCTGCCATTCTTCCTTACCAGGTTGCAGCGAAAACATTTCCCAATGGACGTAGAACTCCGGGTCTGGGTGTAATTTGTTGAAATGCACTACTAGGTCATATAGCAAGCCCATTCTAATGCCAGGCTCTTGCATGGGTTGAAGGTCTCTGCCAAGTCTTGCACGAGTACGGCGACCGGCTTGAGCTTGACACCAATCGTAGGAAAATATCCTTATTTCGTCGAGCTTGGCAGGAGGCTGCAAAGGAAACATTCGCCGCCACGATGCATCTGGTCGCAGCAATTTGTGGCGCTGGAACTCATTTATGTACCACTCTTGTTTCCCAATAGTGTCGTGTAGCTGATAGAACTGATTTATATCAACCGGTCGTTTTAGGGAGAAGAACACAGGGAAGAGAGCTGCGAGCACGGGGTTGAGTTGCGGAGGCGTGCTGGCTGGAGCTGGAGAAAGGAAAAGCCGTTGTTGTATGGCTGGTGACGTGGAAATGATTGATTTGAAGCGCGTGCTGATCAGCTGAGAGAGGAGAAGATCTTTAGGATCTAGGTGTAGAAGAATAGCCTCTAGGATCTCGATGGTGCCAAAAACCTTAAGAGTGGCTGTGTGTCGCATATCGCGTTGAGCCATGATGTTTCATCCGAGGCAATTTATGGCTCAGAGAGGACAACGGAGCGTTTCAAGCAGTAGTGCGAGGGAGTTTTCATGAAATAAGGCAACCGAATGACTCATCCGAGCTGACACCGACTTTTTCACGATTGATGAATGAATTGAATAACTCCCGCTTAAGAGCCAAAGCTTATATGCTTGCAAGTAGAGCCGCTTATCCCAGCTACCAACTAACCAAGCCGAAGATGCTAATTGAGATAAAGCAGCTAGAGGTAGTGGCTTAAGGCTAGAATGGCTCTTGCGAGGCGAAGGGGGACTGAGGCAATCTGCTGAGGCGACCAACTGTTGAACACTGACTAGATTCAGCACAGGCTACTCGCCCATTGCGACAATGCTTATTCTATTTCGTTTGCTTTCGATAAGAACCCTCTGACTGTCAATATATTTCATCAAGACCCACCAGAACATGAGGTAGTTGTGAAGCGTGGGTGGTGTTCTCACATCTCGCTAAATAATCCTAAATTGGGCCATCTCATGTCATCAGTTTAGGACTTTAGAATGCCTCGTGTCTGTTGGTAAAGCTCGTGAGTCAGCCCTAGCACTCGTTGTTGGCAATCACACCCACCAACCGAGGCGCAATTTTGAGTTAACAGCTGCCCTATATTTATAGCGCTTCCTCCACGGATTTTAGCGTACCATCACCAACGTTCTTTCTCACTTATTTCTGTTCTCGGCGTCACAGACAAGCAGATCTTCCCCCAAACCACCAACGGCTTGTTACCATGACACAACCCGACTTGCTTAACCTACATGTCCGAAGGGGATACCGCACACCCTTCATCGGTGTCACCTTCAATGAACACTCTCCTGCCGTAAACTTGGTTAATATCCTTCGGAAAGCATGGCTCCTTCGCATCGATGAGGAGATAACAGCAGATCCGATGAATGCTGGAGTGCATAGTCTGGCTCGATATCTCGATGAGACACCGGAAGAAGAGCTCCTCAAACGACGTGACAATGAGAGAGATAATACCAACAACGCTCACCGGAAGGCTATCTACGTAATGTGGAATCATCTGTTTGACAACATATCCAACTTCCTGGTCAATGTCAACTGCAGCAACGGCATACTCACGCCGCAAAGTCATGGCTCTCTCGACATCCAATACCCTGAGGAAGGCGAGGAAGGCGAGAGTGTGAAAGTAGCCGAATTCTCTCATGAAACACACCTTTTAATCCTCCCTGCTTTCATAGATCCGGGGGCCAAGGTTGAAGTGACAATTGGAGACGAAGCGCCGCCTCAACAGAAGGAGGAGGGAATCAATAAGACGGGTTTCGAGTTCGATGCTACCGAGACGGACTGGGAATATCTCGGAACGGACATCTACCTGGTCAAGGCAAACCAAAAAATCAACGTCTACGTTCCTCGAGAGACTAAAAAGGCCGGTAAACTCGCCGCCGTGCTAGTGTATGGGAAGTACGACCAAAACTTTGGTGACTCAAAGGACGAAGAGCACATGCGCTTACATGAGCTTTATGATCATGACACTGGCGACGAGATCCACGAGCAACTCAAGAAAGCAAGATTTGCTGGGACAGGGAATGCTTCTGACGAACGTGAGCTCTGCTCTGAGGTTATGGCGATAAAGAAGTGGGTAGAGGACAGCAAAAAATCGACGGCTGAGGAGGCCGATGAGCACAAGGGTGAGGTGGTAGTGCTATCTTCCAGTGGGCGTACTGCTGAACAGGAAAGCGTCTGTAGCAAACCTCCAAGTGTTATGGCTGTGTTGTCATACAAGGCTTAGAACAAGCATGTTTTCCAAGTGTTTCTACTAGGTACTCTTTCGTGAAAATAAGGAGAGAAGCGGGGGTTACCAGGGCCCATTCAAGGCCCTGCTACAGACATCTCAGATTCTGTAGTTCAAAATGCTCGCCTCTAATCCATTAAGTTCAAATGCACATCATTTTGTTTTAGAAACATGATTCATCATTTGATATAGTTCGTTAGACATAAATACAGTGCCTGCTGTACTCTAAAATCTCCAGCTCGAGACCTTGATATCAACCTCAAACACATTTGTGTTTCCATCCGCATCTCCCACCATCAACAACTTCGAATCACGAGAGAACGCCAGCTCTGTGACAACTCTTCCACTGATTATTTCTTGGATGGATTGTACTTCCGTCCCCGATTTCGCGTCCGCTATAACTATTCTGGTCTGACCGTATGCTATCGAGCTGTATGCCACAAATCGACAGTCGCCACTGACGCAGGTTACTGTATTAGGTACTTGATAGACATTTGTAATGTTGCCAGACAAGTCCCATACAAGCACATGACGTGTCGAGCCAACCACACTGGTCAGTTTCCACTCGGGCAGTCCTGTGCGAGGGTGTGCCTCCCTATAAACCGAGTGACTTGGAGGGACCCAGACGGAGATGACAGTGCTCTCATGCCCAACCAGGATAGTGGGCACCGCCAACTCAATCTCCGCGTGGTGTAGAGGTCTGACGAAATGCCGCGGCGCATGAGACACCTCCCTATAATCGGAAATGTCCCACGCGACGAGCATGATCTCCCGGTCCGGGGGCGGCTGCCCGGCCTTTGCGCTCTTGGGACCTATGGCGGCCACAAGCAGGTGAGAGCTCGACACGATCGCCAGCTCGAGCTGCTGAGGCACATACGGGAACTCCGCCTTGCGAAGATCGATGATGCGCACTTTAGCGTAGGGCTTCTTGCTCGGCGCGGCTGTGTACACGTCAATCACGCAGGGCCTGGCCTTGTAGACGGCCAGCGGATTCCACGTGGAGCTGTATGACTCGAACCGGTCTGCCGCCCACCGGTCAACTTGGTCGTCGATAGTCTGGACCTTCTTCTTCTTGGCCCAGTTCCAGATCTCAAGCGTCCGCCCAAAGTTTGTTATTATGGCTGCCAGTTTCGCCGTGTCGGAGATGAGCATGTGGCCCACCTCATAAGTATCTCTGGCTCGCTTCCCAGCGTCAATATATGTTGGGACGTCGATTGTGGTTTGGAGAGTGCCGCTCGCTATATTCCAGAATTGGAGGCTGTAATTCGCATGTTTAATGGCGACGACTGCTCCGCTTAGTGAGACGTCCATGGCCTTGACCTTGGACAACCCCTTTCGCTTCCCCACTATTCCAAGCTCTTTCCAAAATATTACCTCTAGATGGGTTTCGGGTGCCTTTCTGGGGCTAGTTGGAGGGTTTGAAGGAGCTCTATAAGAGAACATGGCTGTCGGGCGCGATGGTGAGGTTGATGTCCGGTCGGTTGGTGAGGTCGGTGAGGAATAAGTAGTTGAGGATAGTGAAGACACCTCCGATTCCATGATGGAAGGTGCAATTATTGAAGGCGCAACCTGCCGATTCGAGTGAGATCTGGACGGCGCAAGAGGAATGGGCGGCAGAGGTCTCACCGGCGGTGGGTAGAGAATTGTTGTTGGTTCTATTGGGCTGATGGGGCTGACATTAGACCCGACGGATGAATTCCTCCCTGGCCGCGCCGAGTACGCAGAGACGGGTGATATGGAGCCACGATAACTGCTATTCTGCGGTGATATTGTGCCATTTTGGATGTCATCGAATGCAAACGTTTCTTTGTCCACCTCGAGTTCGGCAAGAGGCCATGCGATATTGGGCGTGTTTTGGGTGGGAATCGCGAACTGGCCTCCTGTCGGAGCAGCGTTGTGATATCGGTACTCGATGGGGATGGAAACTTTGGGCCGAGCGGGGACCCTCGACTGCGGAGTCTGTTGCAAAGGGGCCTGCGGCTCGAAGTGATGATGCTCGTGATCTCTTGCATCCTCGATCATGCGTGTTCGTGCGTCAGACCGAGGGGCACCACCGACACGGAGCCACGATAGCGACTGTAACATCCTGTAGAGCCCCCGTTAGCCATTCTTCTTTTGTCCCAAGCAGTAATGATCTGCCACATCGTGCTTGCCGTCCACCTGGGGCGAACTGTCGGTATGATAGGGCCAAGACCATGGCGGTGAGGGGAGGAAAACAGATGCGCTACTCACGCTGAAGCGTCAATTGCGGATGAAACTGGACGGCTATCCGTTCTACGTCTTTCATTTGATATGTCATCTTCGTTGGAGAATCGTGCGTCGTTCTTTTTGCTGGTCGTTTTGCGCGTGCCGGACGGAGTGGAGCGGCCTTTGAGGAAGTCCATGTTGATTCATCGAATATACCAGCGGCTCGAAGTCACATGCCTCAAAACTGTCAACAATTGGGTGTGCCATGCATGAATGAACGGTCAGTCGCAAACATGAATCGGTTTGTCCAGCATTCACGTTTGATTGTCGACAGCCTCGAAGGTGGGATGAACGGGCTCATGCTTACATTAAAAAGAGAGACAAGAGGGATGGGACAGAGATATTCTTATTGATGCAGATCCGAGATAACGCAACGACCAGGGACAGGCACCAGCCAGCAGGTTGGCTGTGGCCCCTTGGCTTCTTCCCCACCACACCCTCCCCAAACAAGTTGATAGCCCCCAGAAGGATCCCGGCGTAGGGACCTCATTGAGCAACTGGTTAACTAGTGCCTGGAGGAACAGGGGGATGCATCTGCCAACCATTTCTCCACACGGCAGGCTGTTAGACAGGAGGATGGGCGATCAGCATTTTGGGCGCTAATTGAGATGACTTATCCCCATGCTCTGGTCGGATCACCAAGCTGTCTTACTCAGTGATATCAGAGTGACTAGGGCCTGGACCTGGGTAATCGGCATGGCCGCCAGGGGAATTTTCTATTGGTGATGCGTCCTGCAGTCATATCACCAACGTTGCTCGCCGAACGCAACCCTACTATCCAACCAATTGAGACTCCAAAGTTCCACTTTCTCAGCGTCCCCGCGAGAAATAAGTCCGATATGGGTTCCAGGGCTTCAAGCGAAAGTTCAGCTCGGGTTTGGGAAAATGCGCATAAGGGGCAAAGCAGGGGTCTGACTGTGCTATCACATGCCTAAAATTGCTTCGTGTTGCTGTCAGCTACAAGCGATTACCCTATACCTAGGTAATCACTTGGAGTTCATCTATCAATCTGAATGATTAGCCTCCTTAATTTATATTAAATTCACACAAAATCCCGTTTTTGTGTACGTTCAAGAGGCCTCAGAAGAGTCCAATCATAAAATTTTCGTTCAAGGCTGATGTTCTAGTCCAGAGGATGTCTTCCAAAAGTGTAACTACTTAGCTACACAGAACATAGTACCTACGCATCTACAAGGCTCTCTCTGGATATGGTTATGGAGTGCTCGTGTGACGCCAATGCTAATTAGAGTTGATTCTTTATTTTCTCACACGTGTACTAAACAAAGGCCATCAATGATAGAATGTTATTGTTAGTTACTATTACAGTAATCGCATAACCATGTCTTTAATTTTAAGAAAAAAAGCCCCGACCCCAGGATCAATCTTTGTACATCGGCGATTTGAGCTCAATCGCCAGAGTAGTGCTGACCTAAGCCAATACAAAAAGGAGCTCTGGTAAGATAACGCTATCACGTGAGTCCCCGCTGCCGGTCTCGGACCCGCCAAGCCTCTCAATGACGACACCAGACGCAACTTATTTCAGTTCTTGGAGGCGCCGCAACTTCAATCAGCGTTTGCTATAAGTCGTAGTTTCCTGCCACCATGAGGCTCTAGGCGACGAAGCAAAGAGTGAGAAGTTGGGTCTCCAGATGAACGAGCTTACATTTGAGCAATTGATCTAGGAGATGTTTAGTAAAAAGTGAAATTAGTTAATGGCCAATTAGTCGAGTGACCATTCTCGAGCGGATCGAGGCCCTCACGGATCTATTGGGATAGACATGCTTGAGTTGAAAGATTATCCATAGGCTTTTAATATTTGCTTGACGAACTTGAAGCTTGCTTAAATCCGGACATGAGCCACCCCCCATTTTATGACTTAGTCCTCTCATGAATGTTGGATAATTAGGTGATTTCTTGGTAATTATACGGTAATAAGATTGACCACAACAAGTGCCTCAAAGCCGGTATTGCTTGGTAAGATACAAGAATCATAGCGCAATTCTTTCGAGCACGAGGTCCGTGAGGTTTAGATCTAGAGTCCGCTTGTTATTTAGGTCTTGGATGCTTAAAATAAGAGTTCTGCTAGTAATTTATTAACATGATTGAACGCTATTAGGGGTAATTATAGGCGGGATATATAATTAGATAAGGAGGAAATACAAACTTTCGTTCTAAACTCTAGAACAAATCTATATTGGAAACTAAGGTATGCATGTATTCGCAGAAACAAGGCTAAAATACCGTATACTGTATCGTGGATATACATGGCAGCATGGTAGGAATTGACCAGAACAGAACATGAAGTCGATAGAATTTTACGCGAACAAGGGAGACGGCACGGCCTAGGTCTTTCGGAACCGGATTGCAGAAGCTGATTAGGGAATATGGCCAGCCTGCATCTGATGCGCAGGGTTGTGAGAAATAGACCACTAACAGAGCTGAATTCGGGTCAAGAAGCATAATGTATGATGTTCGACAACACATGTTTTACTGATCGTGGCAAACGCTAAGTTGTATTTGATGGCGAAAAGGCTAAGACATCCGAAATCGGGATGAAGACTGGCAATATTTGGCTAGAAAAGTAGCAACCCTAGATTTCTCCTGGCGCCCGAATCCATAGTTTGGCTGGCAAGAGATTGGTTGGGACTTGTCTGACTTTGACTGGCCTGGCTAGTGGCGGTCTGCGTTGGTCCGTTCGTAGTGCTCCCAGTGAGGCTCACGTCGTTCTCAAGGGCCTCAAAGACATTGAGAAGCTGTTTTCCACCGCAAATGGTGTTACTGTCACCAGAGCACGGTATGTTGCAATCGGCTTGGTTTTTCGTCGACTCGCCACCCACGAAGCTACTGCACCAACACTGGTTACCCTCCCGGACGCCAGCATATTCGAAACCACGGCGATAGCATGAGTCCTCGCATTTAGAGATGGTCAGGTCAGTGTCCCCTCCATCCGGGCTAACTCTATACTCCAACGTGGGAAGTTCACTGTTGTTGTCATCGTAGCATCCTCTCGCCTTCCACGAGGTTGGGGATGGACGTAATGCGGTCGACGTTGAACTCGTTGTGCTCGGGATATGCTTCGAGGTTGAAGTCGCCGTTATCAGTGTGTGCTTCGGTGGTTCCGTTTCCAGCCGCCTCTGCGTAACGATACAATATGACTGAACTTCCCACCTCCCGCAATCGAGCCCGACCGACGGGTTCCATTCAAAGAACTGCTCGGGAGTGATACTAAAGTAGTCTCTGACATACTCGCATGAATGCTCACCGGCATTGTCGTACCAATCGACGCAGTCTTTTGCTGTTGCGGGGTCCCATTGAAGCTGGGGCTTGGGACCACATCGCCCGCGGTGGGCAAGTAGCGAAGTAAAGAATAGCAGTGAGTTCTTCATGACTAAACGAGGGATCTAGAAAATATTCGATGGGAAAGACAAGGAAAGGAAATCAATTGCTGGCTCTGGGGTGAGCTGCATGGAGCTCTATGTAAGCGAAAACTTCAGCGGTACCAATCAGGAAGGGAAGGTGGAATTAAACGAAATTTCAAATGAGTGCCAAGCCCTTGGCAAGTCTGTTCCCTTATCTGTTGCTTGACTCATATCTGGGGATTTTTCCCTCTTTCAATTGGACGACAACCGAGGTTGCATATTGGAACGCAGGTTGAACTCACCCAGGAGCGGGCCACCAATTGAATGAAGAATCCCGTTACCTGGCTCTGCGCCGACGAATTGAGTCCTCACGTCCAATATTAAGGTATTGTGATTTTCTACGTTATCACGCACAAGAGGCTTCGAGAATGCTGGCTATCGCTGCCAAGGCCAAGGAACCAGCTCGCGAAGTAGGCACAAGTTAACCGGTCATTCCCGTTCTAGTGTAGATCTGTAGGGTGCGACTTTCATTAGACGAATCGCGTCGGTTGTGAAATCAGAGACGTGGCAATGGGGGATTCAAAGGTGATGGAGTTGCCAGATTTGGGAATCTCCGAGAACACCTTTTCTAATGAGAAATGGACTTGCGGATCATCCATGTAGCCCGTGAAGGAAACTCGGATTAGGCACGCTGGCTCCAACTCTGGTATGGACTTCCAGTACAGATTCAATGGTGAAGATGCGAGCAAATAGAAAGCAACTTTATAACAGAGGTCAGGCTCTGTAAATTTCTGTGAAGGAAAATAAAGATGATTTAGGCATAGAGGCTATGAAGACATATCAGATTAAATGACTGAGACTAGGTTGCTCTATGCGTGTGGGTGCAACTAAAGCAGGATGGCGGTGAATGAGCACGTCGACAAAGCTTGAGGATGACCTTTAGGCAAGATAAGATAGGTCCACTCATTTTTCAGCCTCATAGCGGTTAGTAAGAAATAAGATGCGATCTCTTCGTCAAGGTTCCCTCCCGGATTAACATTGAGGCGGCGTCTATTTACAAGAAATGATGTGATTTCATTATCGAATCCAGTATATGGTCCCATCTAATGGGCTGGATCTAATAGGCTGGAACACCAAGAGCTGGCCCATAAAAAGTGCTTGTACACTACAGGTCTTCCTGCTAAACGAACTTATGGAAGAATTATTCACCATGGGAGGGTTGGTGTACAAAGCCTCAGGCTCAATTTTAGGCCGAGGTGATGTAGTGAAAACTGGTCAAGAAACAGCCCAGTCTAGGCCTGGACCTCGTCTAGATTCATGAACATCAATCAGTTTCAAGAATGGAAGTGGTGGTCGGTTTTTGCGGCATCCATTCAACATCGCGTATATATATTGGTTGGCGGCAGCGCCGGGTCTAAAGCTCACTTTGCTACGCCGGTCCTTTCAAAGCTACCTCTTTCTTAACGTTGGGCGGCCAATGGCGAGGCTCGTGATGCATATAGCCCAGTGCCCGGATACGACCCCCCTTAGTGAGGAAGCAGATGCTAGTCGGCTTTCAGATATGATCAGCTATGAATTTTGAATTTGATTGGCCTGGCCAGCTTCAGGATTAGCTTTCAATAGCCTATGTAGATCAGCCGTAACAGCTTGAGAGGTGGGATCGTACACTGGCTAGACGCTGCTGGAATGCGTCGTTGACCTCAACTGCCAATTGCTAACGCCACAGCAGAAACCTACTGAGCCGAATACCGATGGACAGTAATAGTGTCTAATACCAGCTCTTGAAGATACCAAAATCATTATCTTCACTCTGAGGTGTTTTATGAGAAGACTTAGTTTGAATCATGCGTTGTTCCCTACCAAAGGGCCCCCCTACAGTAGATCGAGCCATATTATATGAAGTCTAATTCGTCTTGACATCGATACTGACGACCATGATGTATCCTTGCTTGAAAATGCCAATGGCGGGCAGATATGGTGAGCGTAAATTGGCCGTATCGCGATGTGCGAACTCCAGCTATCTGATGGCGAATGCACAAGCATGCGGCTACTATCAGTTTTTCCTGGCGTGGACTTTTAACGTTTGACGAAGGCTACGGGCTCTTGTGGAGCTTTCCCACCATAATTAGAGGCCGAGAGAGGTGTTGAAAGCCACAGTTGATCAAAATCATATGCATTTTCTCTTCCACATGACGGATAATCGGCACGGCATTTGTTAGAGCACATGAATAGCACAGCTACAGATGGCGAAGCATTGGCCTTCAAGTAAAAAAAACTTTGGCAGAATCCGTGTTATATAAAGGGCTATGATTCACTGCTAGAGACGAGGAAGAATGATTCTAAAGACGATGCTGATTCATATCCAATCCCCTTCTACAGGATATCATCAAGCAACCATACGAGATGAATAGGCTTAAGGCATCCTTCAGGAATTTCAAAACAAGCTTGAGTGCATTTTGCAACAGGCACTCTAGAAAGATCAGATTAGCGACTCAATTGTTCCTTTTCGCCATCATACTTATTTCTTATGTCCTATATCTCCTACTCTTTCTGGATCCCTCCTCACTTCATCAGTCATCTTTCCTCCGACCTAACGCGTCTGGACTGAAGCCAACCACTGCAGTATCCTTGATTTCTGCAGTATTTGTTGCGGCCAGCTCTTCGTTCGTTACGACATGTGTTGAGCAGTCACTCTGGGCTAAGCTGGCTCCAAGAGCTGTTAGGAACCCGCTTACGGTAGGGGAGGCCCGTCGTCTCGCACAATGGGTTGTTTCTCCTCTCGGTCGGCTCACCTATCCCTTGGATGGATCTTCGATTCTTCTCAAATTGGCTGGCCCATTACTTTTGGCCTGCGCAATTGTCAATTCGGTTCTCGTCTCGGGTATCGCCGTCTCGACGGATTCATCGTCAGATGATACCATCTCCCAAGCGAACGAGGGTTTATGGAGCGGCTTCCTTGATGCAGCGAACTTCCAATACAACGGCGGACTCTTCTCTGACATCCCCAACGAAGTCGCTGCGCTGGCATACCTTAACAACCTCTCCGTCCCACCTTCTAGCCTTTGCAAAGACTCAAACTGTTCTCTGGTGGCGCAAGCAGGGGCAATCCAGGCAGACTGTCAAACAACCAGTGCTCCACACGCTACTATGAGTTCAACGGACCAAGAAAATGAAACCTACACCAGCGACTACAATCCCGGAATCACGGTTACCCTGACTCGGGGAAGCCCATACACCTATGCTAATTTTACATCCTGGTTCACTAAAAGCTGTGGTGAAAATGTAAATGTGGACTCATGTCTGGGGGAATTTGCAGTTGTTTTTGGCGCCTTTGTTAATTTAAAGCCGTCAGCAACTGGTGGGCCAATTGTGAACACGGTAGACTGTCTCCTTACATACGGCAGTTTGAACATCACACAGACCGGCACCGGAACTCCAGCAATTATGTCGGGATCCTATACCGAGGCAGCCTCTCCGGGACCAGATGATTCTTCCCTATCTTCCATCAAACGGATATATACAGATTCGTTTGACAGAAGCCCGTACTATTTCACTGCTTTGTCTGGAACGGGAGACACGACGGATACCATCTACAACAGTCCAGTTGGCACACTGTTGATCTCACCTAAAGGAAACTCCTCTGATAAAGAGGTAGGCGATCGTATAGAGGCCATCTTCAATACTGCTACATTGATGGCATTTGCCCGCGTTCCTGGCGCGGCGAACGTTACCATAACAACAACGACTTCTGGTCCGATTTACGTCTACCATCCGCTAGTCTTGCTCATATTGCTAATTCCTTTCTTTGCTACTGTTTTGGGGACATATCGCCGGCTAAGGATCGAGGGGAATAGTCTATGCCCCGGATACGACCCCGTTGAGATTGCTAGACGCGGGCCTGTCCAGGGAATCAACGACTGGAATGGAGACAACCTTGCTGGTACTGACACGGTAAATGACAAACAGGTTACAATGCTGTCAGGAGATGATGATAATCAGCAGAGCTATGGCTTACGTGTACTGTAGAATAGTCTCAGAAGAAAGCTCTCATACCCGAATAGTAATTAATTTTTTTTCGTTTCCTTTTTATCCTGCAACGGCTATGGCAACGGTTCCATCAGCGGTGCTGATCGAGGCAGTAACAAGGGTCTACACATGTAGTCAGGCGCCACTGCAAGGTCATTGCGTAGCGAAGTGTGCAGACGGCATAACCGATGATCGAAACTCATGCTTCCTCGGACTAGTCTACAGCCATGAGTTTCCTTTGTATGTATACCGTTGGCAAACCCAAAGCACCTGGCGGGTCCAAGGCAAAGCCTAAGCCCGTCGGAAAACAAACCGAGGCAACTGCCAAGCTTAAGAAACTTGGAGGGTCCAAGGTGTCGATCTGTCGAAGAAGCGATGGTTGTAGTAACAACGGCGGTCAAAACCAGAACGCAAACCAAAATACACACCAACACCAACCAACAGAGGATGAAGTGGCAGTGGACCGCGCTGCCATTCCAGATGATGGACTGTCTCCTGCCTACGAGGCACATGTTGGAAATGATGAGCCACCGTTATATGAGGAGGCCACAGGCTCAAATTCGGGCCAACACCAAGATGACGAAAAGAAACATTGAACCAATTCCCTGAAATTCATGTAGAATTTTTGGAATCTATCCAAAGTTCCACTTGGCTTGATAAAGCAATAGGTCTGGTGGGCAATAGTGACGACTATAGCTAATCCATATTTACCTTCAGAAGCACATTAAGGATAAAGAGTTTCTTCCATCCTACTATGATAGTACTTATAACAACAACATTGATTTTGGGCTGTCTTGATGACCTGAGATTCAACGCACTTCGGTCAAACAATTCATATGGTTCAGTGGTTGAAAGCCGGGTTTGCAACCATTATTCGCAGCATTTCCTAAATTCTGTTGCCCGGCATCTACGGCCTAATTATCGGGAATTTCCTCTTAAGATCTATGCTAATCCAGGACTTTGAGGCTAAACATCGACCGGTCTATGTTTGTGTCTCTGAAGATACCTTATAATGCACAGGGAGCTAAACCTGTCAAACATACCCTGCCCGTTAGACATTCCATCGATCCCCTGACTAAGCATAGCTTCATAAAGTCAATTCTCGGAAATGGATTATGACAGGCGCTATATAAGGGATAACCGTGGAAGCTGGGTTAAGGATTTCCTTTTGCCTGGTTCGCCTAGTCTGTGACATGGATTCTATAGGCGAAATACGTATTTGTAATATCATGGGCTTGTATGATTTTGAGAGATATACGACCGGAGGTATTGCTCCAAGAAATCAACGGCGCATCATCAATCCGCTGTTGCTGATGGAGTCACTCGCCCCGCACAAAAGAACCCACGCTTCGGTTCCAGTATGCCCGAGCGTTAACTCGAAGTTGTTTTGTTAAATCCGCCCTCACAGAGCTGATACAGCATCAGTGTATTGTTGTTCACGTTCAATGTAGCATCAACTCTACCTCGAGTCACCATGGGTCATCTTTTAGCTATCCTCCCTTTCCCTGAGCCAGAAGGTTTTAGAGTCACAATACAGCAGAAGTTTCCTGCGTTACATGTTACATGGGTTCACCAACCCTACGGTATCACCAATTGGGACACTGCAAACAACATCGATGAAGGTGATGAGAGCTGCTGCATAGTTGATAACGAATCTCTGGACACTAGCTAACCTAATAAATGCACACTAGAACTTTTCAAAGACGCAACCATCCTCACCACATTGTCCGTTATTCCAAAACCAGAGCAAGCTCCGAAGTTGAAGTTTATTCAGCTACTCCCAGCTGGTGTTGATCATTTACTCGATGAACCCATTTTCAAAAAGGATGATATTCAAATCGCGACGACATCTGGTATCCATGCGCCCCAGATTGCGGAATGGGTTGTCCTGCAAATTCTGTCGTTTTCGCACCACGCACGCTATCTTGCGGACAGTCAGAGCAGGGGTGAATGGATTTCCCACAGCAAATTAACAGAATCCCAAGGCCCAGTCCGAGATATGACCATTACTCGGGTGGGCATCCTTGGCTATGGGAGTATAGGAAGGCAGATAGCACGCGTGTGCTGCAGTATGGGCTCAGAGGTCTTTGCTTTTACGGCGTCTCCACGAGATACGATCGAAAGTAGAGTTGACCCTGGCTTCTGCCTCCCTGGGACTGGAGATCCTGAAGGGCTTCTACCAACCAAATGGTTCCACGGGCTTCACAAGGCTTCAGTCCATCAATTCCTACAGCAGAATCTCGATGTCTTAGTTGTGTGTTTGCCTCTTACAGAGAAGTCCACGCATCTTATCGGTGAAGAGGAGCTCTCTGTGCTCGCCGAGCAAAACAGAGTGCGCCAAGGGCCCGGTACATTGATCATCAATATTGCTCGAGGCCAGATCATCCACCAAGAGGCCTTGATAGCGACACTGAAGAAGCCAGTGGAGGAAAGTGGCCTTCGAGGTGCAGCCCTGGACGTCACGGAGCCTGAGCCATTGCCCCAAGATAACGAGTTGTGGTATCTGCTCAACGTGGTTCTTCATCCTCATGTTAGTGGCTTGACAACTGAGCATCAAAACCGTTATAGGGCTGTGCTTGAGGAAAATCTGACTCGTTTCATGGAAGGAAGAGAATTGATGAATTTGGTAGAGAAGAAAAGAGGATATTAACATAGCCATTGTTCTTGTAGACATCCAAATTTGAAGAAAACGTCCCGAATTAACTGTTGTTTCTCCGAGATGCAAATGTAAACGGCGTAAGGCTTCGAGTAGCTTGACTCACACAGTAAATACAGTAATGGAAGATGGCAGACCCGACATCTCAACCTTAACGCAATTAATGACAATGTGAAGACCTCACCTATTGAAGATCTAAGCATAGCTACTAGGCTTAATTTATACTGATAGTAAACTCTTGATAAGCTTCCAAAGAAGATCCTCAACAGTACGGAATTTTATGGAAAAGATGCGTGTATAGTCTCTTGCTACTACTACAGCTTCGCATAAATACCCCCTTCAATCAGTCTTGACAGATGGGAAGGCGTTATGTCTTCCAGAGTCTGACAACCTGCGAGAGCCATTGTATGCCGAAACTCTGCTTGCAAGATACTCAGAGCCTTGAAAACACCTTCCTCGCCCCCTACAGATAAACCCCACAACGGAACCCGACCGACCATAACACCATCGGCTCCGAGGGCGAGGGCTTTGAAAATGTCGCTGCCCTTTCGAATGCCACCGTCGATCCATACTTGCAGCTTTTTATTCTGTAGCCCGCCAGCGGCGTTAACACACTCCGGAAGAGAGTCTAGAGCTGCCATAGCACACTCAAGCTGTCTACCACCATGGTTCGACACAATGATTCCTGTCACGTTTGCAGGTGATTGGATGGCAAGTTCAACATCTTCAGCAGTCGTGATGCCTTTCAGCCAGATATCCATTTGTGTGATTGACCGAAGCCACATAAGATCCTTGTCCCAAGTAATGGAGTCATCTTCGAAGTGATCAGCATTCCTATCAACAATATATCGAAGCAGCCGGAGATGACCTACCATTGACGTTTGAATCCCCCAAGCTCGACTCATCATCCTTGACGACATGTTGAATAAGTGGCCTGACCTTGTCCTTCCCAAAATTCGGGAGGCTCAGGTGGTGTGGTAGTTTAAAGTCATTTCGTGACATGTTGTATCTATTGCCGAGCTTAGGTGTGTCGCAAGTGAGCATGACAGCCTTGTATCCCGCGCGCTCTGCACGCTTCACAAGATCAATCGTCGTCTTGCGGTTTTTGAATATGTACAGCTGAAGCATGTACACATTGTTCCGCACCTCATCCCCAGCCCCCTTCACATCTTCAAGCGAGGTGGTCGCAAAAGTCGAAACCCCCATGAATACGCGGGCCCGAGCGGCTGCTCTCGCAGTTGCCTTCTCGCCCTCGGGATGGGCCATGCATTGCATTCCGGACGGAGCAACGGCGAGCGGGAAGGACATTGATCCGCCTATCATCTCTTTTTCACTCTTCACCTTGGATACGTCTCTCAGAACTCTAGGACGGATTTTATATTTGCCAAAGGCTGACAAATTAGACGTATGAGCTAGTCCATCCTCCGAGCCGTCGTTGAAATACTCTGAAACGTTTGTTAGATGCAAGAAGGGAAGTACTAAGAGAGTTTGAGAAGGATGAGCGGTAGTTACCTACCTAGTACTGATTTGCTAAGTATTTGGTTGGCTCTCTTTTCGAGATCACCTATACAGAGGATGTCAGAGAGGCTCATGTTGAAAGCCAGTGGAGTATTTTAGTTCGACTCATTCGGTGCCTTTCCCGTTATGTCGTGAAGAAAGGACTTGACTAAGGAACACGAAAAGAGCGCCATATATTGACAAGATGCTCTCCATAGAAGGAACTCGACGTCGGTCCTTCGAGTCCGAGCGAGGAGAAAAGTCCTATGTTGGCGTAATGATAAGCCGATTGCCGGAACGCCGAGCTGGGGGCGTGTGTTCGTTTCTCCACAAGACTTTCCGGCATGAAGATACACCGTGGCCTAGTTGGCAACCGAGAGCGGAGAATAGAATGACAAATTCCACCGAGTGACATGCTTCACTCGGCCTAAAACCATCAGTCCGCCTCCGGGTTTAGCAATCTTTCGCAACGGCAATAATCCGTGATTTTCGTTTCTCTTTTACTCTCTAACGTCCATCGACTTCTACGAGCTCACATCCAATTCTAGAAATTCAGGGAGACTGGTCCGTCATTAGGGGACAGGGGGAGAAAAGTAACCGAAGACTGAGGTTTTGATAGGACTACTCTTGATACGTGATAAAACTATATGAATGACAAAACTTAATTACTTCTCCTGAAAATCCTTGTCCGTATGCATTTCCAAAGCTTTCACCGGGGCCGGGTTAAACAATAATTCTGAAGAAACCAACTTTGCGTTAGGGTTCAACTCCAGTCCAAACCCAGGCTTGTCAATACTGCTGATGTGAAGATAGCCGCCCTCTGGAATTGGCTCATTAAGGAACAAGTTCCCAAACACTGGTAGTATGGACTTTCCATCGGCACTAGCAGCAACGTATTCCTGGAAGGGACAATTGATTTGGGAGAAGGTGAAATGGTAGCTGTAGGGCCCGCTTGCGTGAGGCACGACTGGGATATCGTATGCCGCAGCCAAGGCGGAAACCTTTAGCAGTTCCGTAAGTCCTCCGACCCAAGTGACATCTGGCTGCAGAATGTCGACATTTCGTCCCTCCACGAGCTTCCGCATTCCATATCGGGAGTACTCGTGCTCTCCGTGGGTAAACTTAACTCGTGGATGTGCTCTCTTGAGCATAGCGTAGCCGTCAAAATCATCAGGAGGTAGACACTCCTCCCACCAGTCGACATTGAGACCTTCCCTTGTGGCAGCCGATACAAGGTCGATGGTGTATGAAACGTCGAGCGCCATGTAGCAATCAACTCGGAGAGGGAAGCTGGATCCCACCAACTCACGGTGCTTCCTGATGAAGGCCAGGTTTTTCTCTAGCCCATTCTGACCTTCGCTAGGACCAAAGGGCAACGCAATCTTACCGCCCGTAAACCCGAGCTCCTTCATGCTGGCAGGTTGCGGGCCCGTACAATAAAATTCAAGGCGCTGCTTTGTGGCACCTCCTATGAGCTTATACACTGGCTCTTTGCGGATCTTGCCAACAAGGTCCCAGAGTGCCAAATCAATGACCGAGATGGTAGCCAAGGCGAGACCTTTCCGGCCATAGAACATGGAACCACGGTACATGAGCTCCCACAGGTTATTGGTGTCTCTGGGGTCTACTGGGGTTAGCATTTCCAGCGTTGATGAAAGACTCTTTCCCACATACCTGCTCCTATTAAAAACCTTTTGAAATGGTTCTCAGCCAACCAGCTTGCCGGGGGTCCGCCAAAACCCGTGGCGAAACCCTTGGTCCCATCCGTAGCTTCGATCTCAACAAAGAGAGAACCAAGAACATTGACACCCCAGCTGGTTCGGGACCCTCTATATTTGTCCCATCTTGACATTGGTGTCGCAATGTCGCTATCCACCAGCCAGTGACCAGACTCTACCTGAGAAACAACTGTTAGTAGCGCTTTGTTGATAAGGACGGGTGCCAGCATACATTGTGATAATCACCACCATTGCCTTTCTCATCAATGATATAGGTTCTCAAACTCTTGATCGTTGGAAAAGGGTTTGCCATGATAGCTAATGAATTTGGTTCTCGACGCAGCCAACTCTGCTCGGGGCCTGGTGGATGGCTACAGTATCTAACTGAACTTGTTCTATTTGTACCTATTAACACGTGTACTCGGGCTAATTCTAGATTCACCGCGGCCTGTCATAACCAGTTCGGACCAATGTTAGGTTCAACGAAGTACCACGACCCCAGTCCAGCGACAGCGGTGCATCATCACCCCGTTGCAGATGAGGCGATATTAGTGGCAACACGCACAAGGAACGAAGCTAAACCGCACAATTCACAATGCCACCAATCGCCGCCCGTAAAGCCCAATTTCTGATCCGTGAGCTTCTCCTGATTTGTGGGCCTTATTAAATGAATGATTTTCCGGGGAATCTGGGGAGGGCGGAGATACTGGACCTCATACTGACCCTACGGCTCTAGGATTTCTTACATATTTAAGACACCTTCGTGACGACTGTTATCTTTCTGCATCAAGTAACAGCTTTTAAATCAACCCTATATCGAAAAACAACACGGTGTATTATACTTTACAATGCCACTTTGGAAACACGATATCCGCGGTAAATGGCTGGTAGCTGCTATCACAGGTCCGCGCAATGCTCAAACTCTCAACAATCCGATCTAGAGCTGACCAAACAAACAGCATGTACTTGCCAGGGCTTCGTGATGTTCGGCTATGATCAAGGTATGGCTCACTTGCGACTTCAAAACATAAAATAGTTTCCAACTTACGCGACCATAGGTGTCATGAGTGGCATCATTGGTGCCGACAATGCTTTCGGACGATATTTTAATAGCCCCGACGCAAACGCCCAAGGGAATATCACAGCCTTGTTCGACGTGGGTGATGGTCCACTCTGGCCATACTTGCCTCGCTAATAGAGGGATGAGCAGATAGGTGCTGTAGTGGGAGCGATCTTGAGCTTCAACATTGGAGAGATCTTGGGGCGAAGGAGGATGATAATGCTTGCGGGCAGCGTCTTGATCATTGGCACCGTCATACTTGCCAGTTCTACTATCGTGGGCCAACTGATTTCTGGGAGAATTATCACAGGAGTGGTAGGTAAACTGGAGCTGGAGAGTCAAATACCAATTGCTGACTTGATACTTGCCAGGGCATGGGTATCAACTGCGCCACGTCGCCGGTATATCTTGGAGAATGCTGCCCTCCCAAGAACAGAGGTGCTATTCTATCAATCCAAGGCTTGATATCCATTGCTGGTATGCTACTCGGTAAGTCATGCCTACTATCACCCCAAATCAAAGCATCTACTAATAACAACAAACAAGCCTACTGGCTCGACTTTGGCACCAGCTTCTACGAAACCGATTTCCAATGGAGATTTCCTCTCGCCTTCCAGGGATTCTTTGCCATATGTCTCATCATCCAAGTAATTGGTCTACCCGAGTCCCCACGATGGCTTGTGATGAAGGACAGAAACCAAGAGGCTCAGGCGGTACTTGCTGCACTTCATAACCTACCAGAGGACCATACGGAGGTTCAACTCAGCCTTCAAGAAATCCACACTGCGCAGGAACTGGTTTCTCGAGGAGGCCCATTTCACTACAAGGAGCTCTTCACCGGTGGCAAACTCCAAAATTGGAGAAGGACTGCCCTGACCGTCGGCATCATGATCATGCAGCAGTTTACTGGGGCCAATATGATGTAAGAGATCGAATATTCAACTGGCGAAATTTCGCCCTAACGGAGGTTTTAGAAACTATTACGCTCCAGTCGTCTACCAGAACACGATGAAAATTTCTCGACACACATCTCTCATCTTAGGTGGATGTACGGCAGTATCCTATCTTATTGGGTCGTTCATTTCTCTATTCACTACAGATTATCTCGGGCGCCGGCTTGTGCTCATGTGGTCATCTGCTGGCTTGTCCATGTGCTTCGCCGTAGCGAGCATCCTACTCTCCTTCGGCACAGTAGGCGCTGCATATGGTGCGGCTGCCATGATATTCCTTTTCCAAACATTCTTAGGGATTGGCTGGCATCCCGTTGCTTGGTTCTACCCTTCCGAGATCAACACGACCCGTCTCCGCGGGCGTGCCACAGCGATCACAGCCGCCTCGAACTGGATGACTACGTTTGTAGTGGTCAAAATTACACCAATAGCTATCGGTCAGTATTATTATATGTGCAACTCCAGATATCGTGCGCTAACAGCCGAGCGAAGCCAATATTGGGTGGAAGACGTTTATTATTTTCGCAGTCTTAAACGCGTTGTGGATTCCAATCATCTACTGCTTCTTTCCCGAGACAAAGGGCCTTTCTTTAGAGGACATCGACCACATCTTCGAGAAAGGTGGTATCACCGGGGGCGTTCTTACATCCAAGGGCGGCCGTACTGTGATGCCTAACCAACACCGTCAAGAGGTTGGTTTGGAGATAGAGGGGAAGGGTTTGGGTGGCCCCTCTGTGATTCATGTAGAGTCGTGACGGAGAGGAGCAAGACTTTAGAGCTGTAGAGACTTGAAACGCATATTGTTCGCTTCTCTGGGTTGTCTAACCGGCCTACAATTCAAGATGCTTAGAATGCCCAGCACAGTAGAAGAAAACATTGCCCAAGATGTTTTGGCCTATTTCCTGAAAACAGGGGAACCGAAACTATTTTCACTAGTGCTAGCTGCCTTTGAAATTAGCATCTTCATAATTCCCCTGAATTTTACAAGACGTGACATCACTGGTGCTATCATCAGTGCTCTCTTTCACAATGTCATAGAAGGTGGTTGACTGCTGCCTCATGCTTGTGATTTTGAATAATCCGACTACCATCAGTTCTCCAGTCTAGCATGCTCAAGGAATTGATGGTTTACATGTCTTATGGGGCACCTAGATTCGGCTATACACGTGATGTGGAGGTTCCCCGCATGGAGCCGCGAGTTGTGTATAAAAGTATTCTCTACTCCGCATCGTATACCCCGGAAATTTCCCACGTCAGCGTCCAGTCGACCCAGATTTGATAACCCTGAATTGATGGAAATCGAAGGCCTAGCCTGCATTCCAGCACAAGAGAATGGAGCCGCCCAAGAAGAAACAGAAATTGCCTCTCAAAACGTATGTCTAACCTATGGCGGACTATCAACGGCCCGGAAATTGATTCAGTGTCATAGATGTGAAGCTTGCAAGCATAGAAAGGCGAAATGTGATAGAGGCAATCCAACCTGCGAGGCCTGTAAGAAAAGAGGTATGGAATTCATGACCTAGGTTGGGTTCTTATTGTCTTTGGAGGTTAACCTTGTTATGATGCATACCAGGTATCGAATGTGTTTACCGAGAACGGGAACAGCCAGGCCTTCGGCCAGGGTTTGGCAAAGACCTGGAACAACGCCTGTGCAGAATGGAAGATAGTCTCCAACAAATCCATCAAACACTACAGGAACAGTCACAAGACCGCAAGAGAGAATCAACTGGGGAATCTTACCGTGAAAACTGCGTCCAGCCCGCGAGCCTTCTACCTCAAGGGGATGTGACGATTTCTCTGCCCGAAAACCCAGAAGAAAACTGCGATGACAGTATAGCCATTTTCCCTATGGAAAACTTTGACCAAAACGACCAACCCGACCTCCCTCCACCTCAGATCTTGGAAGCACTGAAAGACATGTATTTCCAACATGGTCACTCATGGATGAACATTCTGGATGCTTCTCAATTTGAAAGGAATATGTTCAATCCGGACCAAACAATATTACTGCACGCGCTTGTGGTATTCGGATTCAAGTACTGGACTGATTCATTCCCGGACTCGAGGATGCGGCAACAATACACAGACAGGTCAAGGGAGAAAATACTCAGTTTGGCCGTGAATGAGATATCATTTCCATCGGCTCAGGCGCTTGCATTCCTCGCTTTCGATGCTTTAGGCCAAGGTCCTAGCAGCAAAACCCTGAATGTCATGTCGTTGCTTACTACGGCCATTGGCCAGCTTGGGCTGGTCCGAGCTGTAGTTGAGGACAATGAACGACGAACTGAGTCGCCTACTCGAATGGTGAGAAGCCAAGTTCATGAGTGTCGGCCTCGTGAAAACGAGACTGTCCAGCAGCCTTGTTTGTTTTGGACGGTTTATGTTCTTGATCGAATCATTGGCGTATCGCATGGCTTTGAATGCAGAGTCGCACCAAACTTGTTTCGTAGGACAGTGGTTGACAAGGACGAAGTCTTAACCCCAGCAAGGCGGGTTGAGGTTTTGATCAGCGACGTGAGAACGAAAACTGGGAGGGCTGGTCTGTCAAAATCCTTCTGTCTTCTCGTGGAAATTAGCACACTGATTGAAAGGGTGAATGAGTTCATCATGCGCCCCGTGAACCTCCGCGACTTTGCTCAGTCCCAGGAGTGGAAGAGCCATTTCCGGGCACTGGATGCAGCGCTCTGCTCCTGGAAAGAGGCACAACTAGCGACTCAGCAAGAATCATTAGGCGAGTTTGACCCTGTACTAACTACATGTAGAGCAATATTTCATACGTGAGTGTTATTTTGTGCTCTTCCTCGAACGCCAGGATGCTGATTTAGCCACAGTGCCATCATTCGCTTGCAGTCGGTGGCTGCATTTCCGCCAAAGACATACTCCCACTTCTCAGCATCGTCACTTGCCCCAAGCAGGTGCGAGAGGGAGATTCAAAGCATGTGTAGGTTATGCGAGTCCTTGCAGCCCAGCCAATATTCGAGTCTAGGCCCCCTCTTGGTATTCGCCGTCTGGGTTGCTGCGCGCAACATGGTGACGCTCTGGACCTCGGGCTGGGAGGAGAGGACTTCAGCCGTGCCACCGGAGCTTACTACCCTCAGAGAGACTCTCTGCACTCTGGCTGAATATTGGCCGTGCGCACAGCGTTTTACAGCGATGATCGACCTCGCTGTGGACGCGGCAAACCAGGCCAATGAGCTCTCGACTCTTGCAATATTTAATGACGTGTCTAAGACAGCTTTCGGGCTGCAAAACGTTCTCGGTCCCCGAATACAGCACAATCAAGGTGCGGAGATGGCCCAGCTATGGGATTTGTTCTCTTTGCCAGGGATAGATGGAAATAACTCGTTTTTCTAGGGCTAAATGAATGAGATAACTGAGGTGAGTTTCAATCTAGAATATGAAATATTTAAAACTATTTTTCTGTTACCTATATCCTTACTCTTAACATGATCTAGTCTTATTTGCTTGAATGAGTTGGTGTTTCCATATTTAATATAAGTCAATTGGCTTTATTATAATTTATAACGAATTAATTACGAGTCAATGGGGTCTCTACTCTTGTTGCAAGCCCAGAAGCTTGGCATTCAGCTATGGCGATCCGTGGAAGCAACAACATCAATTTGCCAACAAACCAGCTTGGGGAAATCTCGATACGAGCTCGCGTGCTACCAGCATTCTCGAATTGCTAGACACGGGATGTTGATGTGGAGACCAATGCAGAATATGCTTGCAAGTATTGGTTTCTATACGCCGCCAGCCCCGGATCGACCGGGGGAAGATGCAGTGAGACCGACCAAATGATTCCATGCATGAGGAAATTACCGCTATACGAATATTGAAAAGTGCGGCCTATGAAAACCCAGTCTGTGCTCACTCGCAAGGCAGCCACAACATAAATAAAGCGCTGACCCTTTCACCTAGCCGCTGATCCTTTGATATTGCCTAAACAAACGGGAAGAAGTGCACCGAGGGAGCGGACAACCTGTATTGAATACAAGCAAGATGCGTCTCTGTGTACTTCTGGCTATCATTCAAGTAGTGCTCGGTATTCCGACTCTGCGAACCGAGCCTGCTCCCCTATTCCTACGTACCGAGGATACTGATGTCAACGCTAATCGCTATATCATCAAGTTCAGAGACGCAAAATCTCGAAGATTAGTAAATAACGCCATAAAAACGCTTCAGATTGCCCCTGACCATACATTTGAGCATGTTTTCAAAGGGTTCTCCAGCAAACTGTCTGTAGAAACTCTGAACACCCTTCGCAACCATCCCGATGTAAGCAATGCTTCTAATCAAGCAAAAACTTCCATTATGATACTTCAGTTCTGACTGTGGAATAGGTTGAGTACATTGAGCAAGACTTCACTGCCTCAGTGGATGGCTTTATTGATCAAGATGACGCACAATGGGGGCTCGCGCGAATCTCTCATCGTGAACCCAATTTCTCTACTTATACATATGACAGTAGTGCCGGTGAGGGAACCTGCGCCTATGTGCTTGATAGTGGAATTGATGTTGCACATCCTGTAAGATCTCTCCCTGGGCTTCAGTAATACCCTTCCACCCACGGGTGGCTTCCCGGACTGGCGTTGTTAATGCTTTCTTAGGATTTTGGAGGTCGGGCCAGCTGGCTTGCCAATTTCATTGATTCGTCGAATCGTGACGGAAATGGTCATGGGACGCATGTAGCAGGCATCATCGGCTCCAACACATATGGTGTTGCAAAGAAAACAACACTCTATGCTGTGAAAGTGATTGGTAACGGCGGCATGGGAACAACATCGAGCATGATTGCTGGCCTTGAGTTTGTGCTCGCTGATGCTCCAACGCGCCACTGCCCAAATGGTGTCGTTGCCAATATGTCGTTGCGAGACAAGCCATCAGTATCACTCAACGCTGCCGCTGCCGCTCTAGTTAGCAATGACATCTTCCTCGCGGTATCGGCGGGAAATAACAACCTCGACACATCGAGCCAGTCTCCGGCATCTGAGCCGACTGTTTGTACCGTTGGCGCCACAAACTCCACGGATGCTCGCTGGGAATACTCGAACTTCGGCCCTGGGGTAGATGTCTTTGCGCCAGGCGCGTCCGTCATGTCTACATCTCCTGGTAATTGGACGGTAAGTAATGCCAACCAGCAGCACAATGAAAGGCAAAGCTGATAACTACGTAAAGAGTGTCAAGTCCGGGACATCCCAGGCTTCGCCCCATGTGGCCGGGTTGGCTGCCTACCTCGCCGCCATGGAGGGATTTCCAGGAGCTGATGCGCTCTGCAATCGGATTAAAGAGCTTGCCACGGGCGGAATACTGTCGAATATTCCTGATGATACTGTTAACAAGATTGCCTTCAATGGAAACCTTAGCGGTTAATCAATTGTTATCATAGCACGAGAGGTTTCCATCGATGGTGTAGCTATGATAACTTGAAGACGCCAGCCGATTTGCGTAGTACCCCAAAGCTAGCTCAATTCACTATTTGAGCTAACAGAGGAAGGTGTATTCATTACTTAAGTGATGGTATAGACTCAGTGTGCATTACAGGGCTCGGTATAGCAAGATACACATAAAATATTCGAAGATTCCGAGACTTCGGCGAAGAGTGAACCCTAATATTAGTTTACGGACAAACATCAGACATTTCCACTCATCCAACGCTGTCAGCATAATGGCAATTCCGACAATAATAATTTAGAAAGGGGGAGAAGCAACATATCATTGGTCGAAGTGTTCCCGAAGGTTGTAGGCTGCCTGAGTGCTGATAGAGGACCTTGAGTCAAGAATACATACACCGTCTGACAAACATTACTTGAACCAAATCCTTTTCAACCGGCGTCTTTTTGAAGCCATGACTCAAAGTTCCAATCTAAAGCCCGTCAATAACCTTGAGCATGAAGAAGCTGCTCTTCGTCCGTGACTTGGTTGGCAGCCGCCCACTTCTTCTCCATGTCGGAGCCCGTCTCCGGTGCCATGAGGCCGTTAACTCTCCAATAGTCGCGATTGGCCTCATATATGGCCAGCTCCCACTCGGCCTTCTTCAGCTTCAGGATTGGCCTGAGGATACTGTCAAGAGCCTTCAGAAAGCCCTCCGAGGCCTCCCTATTGGGGAACCCTTGGGCAATGTGATAGATGGAAAGAGTAGTCAGAAATGCAGAAGGATGAGAGGGATACTCTCCTCCGGCAAAGATGCTATTCTCTGGCAACTCGAAGAAATGCGCATGACAGTAGAATGCGGGAAGGCCGATGGTCTTGTAGATTTCGACCATGCCATTTGCAATGCGGTGCTTATCTTCGACGGTGAAAGTACCGGCGGTATGATGAAAGACCCACTTCGGCATTTTGGCGGAGGGAGCAGAAGCTTTGGTTGAATGTGTTGATGTGTTGATAAATAGTTGTTATGTGACTCTGACTTGGGTCAACCAGCGACTTTGCCTGCAAACTTGGCTCCTTTAATAGTTTTCTCTTTTTCTTTTTCTTTTTATTACCATCACCATCTCCTCCTTACTGACCCGTTTTCTTCGGACATAGGAGAGACTAAGGGTGGAAAATAGGGGCTTGCGCTGGAACCTGCGATCATCATTTGATACTTTGGGCCGCGCAATGTACGACGGAGTCATTATGTGACCTCCCCGACGGCCCCGCCTGCACGACGTATGATGTCCCAAACTATGACGGGTGATTGATACCGAGGCACCCATATTCATTAACACGGGCATGATTACTATTTCGATATCCTGCTACCGAGGAAGACGTTAAAATACCTCGGCGGTCAGAAGCAATGCCGGGTTTTCTAGGAGTCGTACTATTCCTAAGCCCCGTTATCGCTAATTTGCACACTGTTTGAAACTTAGCTAATTAAGGGTTTGTAGAAGCGGAGAAGCTTGTAAGTAGCACGATTCTTTCTAGAACGATATATATACGCTCGTGCCTCAGTCAATTTACTGGAGGCTCGATTCTATAGTCACTTTAACGTTCCCCATCCCGGAAACACTCCAATAAAGAATCATTTTTTGTTCGACTTCATATCATAACCACCATGTCTTCTCTCAGATCTGCCGTGTACGTGGCACCTCCAATCCCCTTCGAGAGCTATAGGCACCTACCGTACCTACTAGCTAGTACCTAGGTACTATGTTAGTACTGGCTAACGCTTTCACAGTGATCTATGCCTGAGATAAAATCCAATACTTTAGTAACATGGGTAGAAGGATTAAGTTCAATATGAGTTAATTGTATTAGGCGACTCTTTTCCATCGTCCATTGTCGCCCGAAATTAAATATCAAGACCTGAGAAATCAAAAACTCAAACACGAGTACCCTACGTACTTGCTGCAGCTTCCGCCTTGCCCATGCTATCCAGAGCTTTTGTTATAAGGTCCTGTGTCTCTTTGTCCGAGATTTCACTCGAGGGTTTCTGCTGGCAATCTTGCAGGAACTGCTTCCATTGTGGCCAGAATTCAGGTTTAAATTGATTAAACCGAACTTGTCTGTTCTCTTTGCGGCGGAGTTGAACATCTAGCAAGACCTTCTTTGGAGCATAGATAAGCCACATGCAGGCTACTCGGACATCTTGCCTCGTAACTTGGCGTGTCTCATCGAACATGCATGTCAGGCGAGGCAAGCTCCAGGAAATATCCCCCTGGAAATTTTGGAATTTGACTTCCGCCAGTTGGGCATAGAAGGCTGATAAGTTGACGAAATCTTGATTTCGTGACTCGTCTTCGCTTGTAACACCAGCTAAAATAAAATAAAGGAAAACGAGTCAGACAATCGCCTCTAGGTCTGTATTGATGTAGGTGGATGGGTGGTCGAACTCACAGTTTCGGAGCCAGACCTCGGCCAAATTTATTGCCAACCGAGGCATTCCTGTCCAAAATTGGGCATCGTCCGGCTCCTTGAGCCTTAATACGGTTCCATTTGTGGGATGGGATACGATGTCTTGCCCTAGCCGTACGGTAAAATCAACAAGCTTAGATTGTTCGCTGTGCGGCAGGCGACTGCCCAAAGCGATGATAAGGGCGGTCACAGTATCGGCATGTATCCACAACGCGTCATATCCATTTGTCTTGGGAGAAGAGGCAGCCTCGGAAGCAGCCGCCTTGGTTAGGGCGACAGTCTCATCAACTGCATCGGCTGCTGAGAAGGCATCTTCAGTGATCATCTTGATGAGAACATCGCGCTCTGCACACTTGTTGAGCTATTGGCGGTGTTAGTCAGTATTCTCTCTTCTTCGATATCGTGTTCTTTTCTAATGCACGCAGGGTGACATTGGGCAGAAGATTGCCTCACCAAATCATCGAGCCTACGTGCCAGTTTCAAGGCAGCCGGGTTTTCAGAGGTGTCAGCCATGAGACGCAACGAGATGGGATAGGATGGGATGGGCTGTGATGCGATGCGAATTCTGAAATTAGAATGGACAATATGCGGAGAGGGCCGGGACCTGATTGCGGGTAGCCGAAGGAGGACAGGCAACAAGTTGATTCTGGGTACATTTACATTTATAGATGGAGGGAGAAATATATGGAAGACCGGAGACAAATCCCAACTATGGGCCGGGGAACCAGAACCCGTTCCAGAGAGTCCCAGCCGGTCGAATCATCGTGGATCAGAGACCTCCCCATGCCTTGTATGGTGGCATAACCCATGATGGGCAAGGCGGCTCGGGTTTCCGACCACTTTTCACACCAGCGAACGCAAACTCAAACACGAACACGAACGCTCAGAGCTCCGGAAGTTCATCCGGTCAGCCGGCCTCCGGACAAGCGCCAACGCCAGCAGAGGCCCTAGCACAGCAGAATGCTGCAAAGGCAGAGGCACAGAAGAAGCCCGAAAAGGCTGAGGCGCAGGAGAAGACCGAAAAGGCTGAGGCGCAGGAGAAGACCGAAAAGGCCCCAGAACCAGCAAAGGCTGGAGAGTCTTCAGGCCAGCAGAATTCCGGACAGTCATCGGAGCAGCCAAAACCTGCGTCTGGGTCAGATGGAAAGCCAGAAAACAAAAAGGCAAGGCGAAAAAGGCTCCAAGCAGAAGCTAAAGCCAACAAGGACGCCCAGAACCGAAAGGACAAGGGTCCCGATAAGGATTCAAAAGACCCCCCGCCGCCAGGCATGTGCGCCAGAAACGCTGGTGGCTCATGTTCAATAAATTCAGCTAAGAAGAATGCTCCCACGGAGAAGGGTGCTTTGAATAACAAGTCCACTGACAAAGCAAAGGATGGCTCCAAGAGTATGGCCAAGGGAGGAGTCGCCATGAACCAAAAGACGCCCGTCAAAGCCATGGCTCGTCCCCAAGACAAGACTGGTCGACAAGGAAAGGCCGCCGACTCTAAGAATGCTGCTAAATCAAAGGCTCCTAGAAATGGCAATACAAAACTCAAGGCTGGCCCCAAGCAAAATGCAGCTAGCAAAGGGAAGATGACCGCTAAAGGCAAGGCTGGTCGCAAAGGAAAGACACCTGGCAGAGGCGGTAAGGGTAGCGCCAAGAACACTGCCAAAGCAAAAGCCTCTAGTAAAGGCAAAGGGAATTCCAAGGCCAAGATAAATCAAAAGTCGCCCAGGAAAGGAAACTCCGCTGGCAAAGGAAAGTCTGCGCCAAAGGGAAAATCCTCTTCCAAAGGGAAGGTTGCGACAAAATCAAAGACTGGCTTGAATGGAAAATCTGCTAAAGCAAAGGGTTCCAAAGGAAAGGTTTCTGCTAAGAATAAACCAAAGGCTGCTCCCAAAAGGAAGTCCCCCGCGAGAAATAAGGCGAAGTCTTCCTCTCAAGCAAAGACTTCCAAAGGAAAATCTCCTAAGAGGAAAGCTGTTGGGAAAAGCAAAGCGAAGACTTCCAAAGCAAAGGTTTCCAAGGGCAAAGCTGCTCAAGGGAAGTCTCATGCTAAGAATATGGCAAAATCTTCCTCTAAGCCAAAGACCGCTAAAGCAAAGTCTCCCAAGGGTAAAAGTCCTGGAAAGAGCGGAGTGAAGGCTCCCTCTAAAGCAAAAGCTTCCAAAGTAAAGGCCCCGAAAGGAAAAACTGCTAAAGGGAAGTCACCAAAGGGAAAGGTCCCTAAGGGAAAAGTTGCTACAAAAAGCAAAGCAAAAGCTCCCTTTAAAGCAAAGGCTTCCAAAGGAAAGTCACCCAAAGAAAAGTCGCCTAAAGGAAAAGCTCCCTCTAAGGCTAAGGCGAAAACTCCCTCCAAATCAAAGACTCCCAAAGGCAAGGCTCCTAAAGCGAAGGCCGTTAAAGGAAAGTCGCCTAAAAGGAAAGCTCCCTCTAAAGGAAAAGCTCCCTCTAAAGGAAAAGCTCCCTCTAAAGGAAAAGCTCCCTCTAAAGGAAAAGCTCCCTCTAAAGGAAAAGCTCCCTCTAAAGGAAAAGCTCCCTCTAAAAGAAAAGCTCCCTCTAAAGGAAAAGCTTCCAAATCAAAGACTCCTAAAGGCAAGGCCCCGAAAGCAAAGACTTCTAAAGGAAAGTCGCCCAAGGGAAAAGCTCCCTCTAAGGCTAAGGCGAAAACTCCCTCCAAATCAAATACTCCCAAAGGCAAGGCCCCTAAAGCGAAGGCCGCTAAAGGAAAGTCACCTAAAGGAAAAGCTCCCTCTAAAGCAAAGGCTTCTAAAGCTAAACTTCCTAACGCGAAGAAGTCTCCCGCTAAGGTTAAAGCAAAAACTCCCTCTAAATCAAAGACTCCTAAAGGCAAGGCCCCTAAGGGGAAAGCTCCAAAGGGAAAAGCCCCGAAGGGAAAAACTGCTAAAGGTAAGTCTTCCCTTAAGGCTAAGGCGAAGGTTCCCTCCAAAGCAAAGATTCCTTCCAACGGGAAAGGAAAAGGTGCCCCTAAGGCTAAAGCCCCTGGTAAGGGAAAGAGTAAAGCGAAAGCTACGCCAAAGGCAAAAGCCGCCTCTGTGAAAGCTACTCCTAAGGCTAAAGTCGCTGCCAAGGGTAAGGCTGCGACCAAGGGTAAGGCTACAGCTAAAGCCAAGGCTGCACCAAAAGCAAAGGCTGCTCCCAAAGCCAAGGCTTCGACCAAATCCAAGGCTGCACCCAAAGCCAAGGCTACGACCAAATCCAAGGCTGCACCCAAAGCAAAGGCTACAAAGGCAAAGGCTGCGGCCAAGCCAAAAGCTGCTCCAAAACCAAAAGCTGCTCCAAAACCCAAAGCTGCTCCAAAACCAAAAGCTGCAAAGGCTGCTCCTAAAAAAGGTAGAAGGAGCGAACATTAGTAGCAGTCCTTCTCAACCACTCTAATACCTCAAGGCTATCTATCCCCCTCTTATTATCTTTTTTAGTCTTTTATATAAATTATTTATTTTTCTATTATTATATTTTATATCCTCTTTTATTAGTTTATCTTAGTAATTCACCTGCTTATATAAGCCTAGATCTTATAGCCAGGCTATATCTTTAAGCTTAAGATATAGAGGTTTAATAATATAAGTAATTAGAAATAATCTCTTTAATCTCTAGCTAGTTAATCTATATATTAATTATAAATATATATAGAATTATATACTTAGTTAAATAACTATAATAGTATATACCTTATAACCTAATATTAAACTAATATTAGTAATCTTTTCTTTATAGGATAATTAGTTATAATAATAATAAGAAGATAAATAAATATAGTATATATAATAAATAAAATATAAGATTAAGAGATTATTTAATTAGTATAACTAGTATTATATATATAGCTATATTATTAAATATATATTAATTAAGTAAATAATAGGGAAAAATTTATTAATTATAATAATAATAGGAAATAATATATTATAGATTTAAAGCTTTCTTTTTATCTACTTATTTAAATAAATAAACTTAATAATAATTACTCTAAATAGATATTATATATCTATTTTAAATAGAATTTAATATAAAAGAAAGATAAAATATATATATTAAAGGTTAGATAGATTAAATAAATATAAATTATAGTAAATAGAGATAAATTAAATATAGCTAGAGCTCTTATAGGCTATAATCTAGTTTAATAAGTATTCTCTAAATTAATAAATTAATTAGTAATTTACTATATTTAAATAATTAAGAGTATTTATAATACTAAATTAGTTATAATTTATAATTAATTAAACTTATTTAAACTTATTATTCTTTACTTTATTTAATAATTATATTTAATTAAATTAAGAATATTATTTATATATTTAAAAGAGCTAGTAGGTTTTAAAAATCTATAAGAAAATTATTTTCCTCTAAAAAGATTAAACTTTTCTTCTTTCTTTTTTAGTTTTTTTAGTTCTTTAGTTATTTATTCTTTTACTCTTTTATATAGTTTTTTATATATACTAGCTATATATTATTATTAATAATATATCTTCTAAGAAGGATAAAACTACTAAGAAGAGTACTAAAAAAGCTATTACTTCTAAGTATAAATATAGTTATTCTATTATTTATATAATTATTTAATTAACTAATAGCTCTTATAATAACTTATAAAATTAATAAGCTTTATCTAGTTCCTTATAAGATATATATTTATTCTTATCTCTCTAGTAA